AGCGATTGCACAAGCTCCCTCCAGCAGTTGCAGTCCCACACACATCCCGGCCCGCAGTGTTGGTGTGGTCTCCATGCAGTGTCCAGCCTATCCATCAAGGCACTCATCTTGGAGAACCCACAGCCACAGGAGAAACGGTCAGATTCCCAAGGCCAAGAAGGTCAGGGAGGGGAAGAGGCAGTGCGCCCCACCAGCGCATGCCTTTGTGTGCAGGGAGTCTGTCATGAGCGGGCAGGCCCAGGCTGAGGGCGAGGGAAGCTGACCTGCCAGAGTGGAGGCCCCAGCTCTGGCCGCGGAGGAAACAGCGCAGGCTCCCCATGTGCCCCCCGAGAAAGGGCTCTCTCATTACTGCCCCAGTCCCCTCGCTAGTGGATGCTTGGTGATGCCCTTGGACTCTCATTTCGCAGAACATCCTCTGGCGGCTCAGAATGGTCATGAGCTCTCAGGCAGTGGCCACAGTCAGCTACGCTCTGGCCCCCGCGGTATGAGGTGGCCCCAGCCTTCATGTCTGTGAGAATGGGCAGGGACGTGAGAAGGGTACACAGGTGAGCCCTTCTTCCGTGGTAGTGCTTCATGTGCAGTGGAGAAAATAACAAATTAAAACAATCACGAGTTCTCCTGGGCTGTTCCCCAAGTGTCTGGGTGGGTTTGGGCAGCCTGGGAAAACCTGTTTAAGGCTGCACTTAGTAAAGCAGATTTGCCCGGGCTTGTGGGCAAGGAGGGATGTGTGCCCCATCCTGGCACAGCAAGGCCACAGAACCTACCCCATAAAACCAGCGGCACTCTCCACCGAAAGAAAGCAGATTGCTCCTTGTGTTCACTGAAGGTGAAACATTGGGCTTTTCTTTTTCACTTTTTTTTTTCCAGTATCAGTGTTTGAAAACAAGACCTTTGCACTGAGCTATGTCGCCAGAGCCATTTTACTTTTTTTTGAGACAGTCTTGCTAAGTAGCTAAGTTGCCAAGACTGTGCTCAGATTTGCAGTTCTTCTGCCTCAGCCTCCCAGAATGCCGAGACTGCAGGCATGGACCACCAGCCCCAGCTCCTGAAGAGAAAAATAAACAAACACTAGGTCAGCCCTAGATGTCTCAGGACAAATACAGAAAACTTCGCTTACTGCACTCAGCTGGGTCTGTCACAAAAACTAAGTGCAGCCAAACAAGATTAATCTCAAACAACGCCATGCTGTGAAACAGGCCTTCCACAATGGCGTGCTCCCAGTTGTATGAAGTTCTAAATCTGGCAGAACAGCCCTAGTGAGGGCTCACACTGGGCTGCCTTGCATGCACACCAGGGATGAGCAGGCAGGCTGACAGCGAGGTCCTCTCCAGGATTCAGGCATGCAGTTGCAAGCTGTGTATTTGTAGAAACAGTAGAGGCCATGCCTCAGCCCTCCCACCCTGTGCAGGGTCTTTGAAACGGTAGCCACCGAGCACTTTCACTGACCTGCAATCGGGCACGAGCTGAGTGCAGCTGTGGACGCTCTCGCCTTGCTTTGAAGCACACCTGGACCAGACAGGTGCAGGAACAGGAGATGAAGTAAGTGCTGTGAATGTTGGCATCAGCATGTCCACGGACCAGCTCCTCTCACTTCCTAAACATTAGGAAGCTAGTAAAACTTGAGGACACAGGACAAGGGCTCTGAGACCTAAGTCACGGGACCTGCTCTTCCTGCTTCAGTGAAGTTTGTCCCCAGTGCTGCAGGAGTTCTGTGGGCAAACCACAAGCATCGACACAAACACTAGCTGTCTGCTTCTCAAGCAAACAGACCTAAAATAATAGCGAGGTTGTCACCAAATACCTTATGTAATGCGTATTTATATGAAATTCTTGAAGTACGGGAGATTTCCTTTACCTCTCTGCTTATATTTGTTGCCACTCTGCCTGCGTTTGATGGCTAATGTTTAAGTTAGCTCCATGTGGATTCAAGCACATACCTGAGACAGTTGCAGGGCAGTGTGCCTTAACCGAGGGCCTTGAACATCTTCACTGCCCGTTACGTCACTGCCCCCTTCTCAACAGTTAAGTGAAGGAAAGTTGAACGATCTGGTCCAGTCCAACCATCACAGTGGTCCTGCAGGTTTGTCACCGTCTCAGTGTCCTCTTTGAGGAATACAATTGCACCATGAGGAAATGATGAAGCTGATTTCTCCTGGTCTAATTAAAATCTTTTGCTTTGGGCAGCTTTTTCTTAAATCTGCTCTACTAGTTGGCCATCATTTTTTCAATAATTTTATTTGTATCAGTGGTCTTACATTTAAGTTTCCTCATTCTGTAGAGTATAACAGGACACACTGTGTTATAAAGGTTACACTGCATTGATGAGGGCAGCTAAGCCAGCCTTTTCTTAGGATGCTGGGGACACAGCCCTCTGCCTTAAGCTTCCTGGGCATGTCCTCTTCTCTGAGCTGCACTCTCCACCCACCCTGGCCAGCCCTAATCTCTCCTGAGACCTCACTCTCCTCTGCAGAGATGGGCAAAGCACCTCAGCAGGAGCCCTCAGAGGCTCCCTGCCACTCTGGACTCTGGCGTGAGAGCTCAGCTCCAGGACGCAGCTCACGCAGGAAGGTCTGCCTTTGTCACCTCAGCGTCTCCTGATGGGTGGTTGCACATCTAGGTTTCTTTGCAACTTTCCGTTCACCACTGTTGAAAAGGTAAACCATGAACAACATTCTACATGCAGCTTTCTCTCTATTGATGTCTGTTTCCTCAGAACAACTTTCCTGAAATGGAATCATCATGGTATGGAATTTGAGCACATTTGTCCCTCTACACCCGCTGTCTAGTTGCTTGCCAAGTTGTTTTCTGACTTAACATTCCCATCCGTAGTATGCAGTGTTTCTGTTCTCTTCCAAATACAGGACCACCTTTTCTGTATGTGAAAGTGATTCACCCTAATTGCAGACAATGCAGGGCTCTACATATTCATAAAGAATAAGTTAGGTGCTCAGTGAGCATTTTTAATAAGTGAATGAAAGTACAAATACAATCTTTAAAATTAATTTTTGTGACTCACTAATCTTAAATGCCACATTGTACTGACATTCACTTACTCATTGGTTTGAAAATAAAAATTCTTAGTGCAGTGAAGAGAACCCTGCAAGGCGATGCTGTGTGTATTCACAGTGAAAGCGTGCCAGTGCCATCGTCTGCATCAAAGCCCTCTGAAAGCTGCTCTGAGCTTGGTTCCGGCAGACCCTGCTCTCCTGCTGACACCAATTGCATGACCAGTATTCGAGGTGACCTGGGCCACAGCTGCTCAGTTAGAACAAGAGGGGAGCCCTCTGTCCCTCAGCTAGGAAAGCCGCTTTTGTTCCACAGTACACCTGCTGAGAAGTCACATGCTGTTTTCAAACCTGGTACCTGCCTCTTGCTAACATCTTTGAGCATCCTGTCACCAGGAGGTCCTTCACTTCCAGTCCTGTCTGTGCTTGGAGCAGTTTCAGGACTGGTCCACCTTGAGGCTTCTGACTACAGACACTGGGTCAGTAATGGAAGGAATTATGGAAACTTCCTACCTCTGCAGATATGGACTCTATATTGTCAGTATCCATAGCTTCTGTGTCTTCTGCTGAATTTGAATGACAGCCCAAAAAGGAAGAGAGATAAATCCCCACAGAGTCAACGAGGGTGTGGAGACTGCCTTATGGGCATGTCATGTAGACTTGACAGTGTCTGAACTTGTGCCCACTGCCCTGGCTCTGCCGAGCAAGAGTAGACAGATGACACTGGCGGAACAGTTCCCCTGGGGTGGGAAAAGGAAGCCTATAAAGTCCCAGGGTAGCTTCTGAAGTGGTAGCAAGAGAAGTGCTGAGCCGTGCTGACTTCGACCTCGTTTTGTGCGCCATGACCTGCCTCCTGTCTGTCAGGCAGCAGACCAGAGGCCACAGCCGGGTCTTGATCTAACATCCACAGCCAGGGGCCATTGTCTCTTCACTCTGCTGATAATTAGGCTTCCTGCTCTGAAAGCCCCAAGCATCTCTACCGAAGCATATCTCTGAGAGCCAGGTCCATGCCCAGCCTTGGATCGCGGTCCTCTCCACTGCTCAGCATCCACTGTCCACCAAGTGTGTGTCCATCACTGAGCCTTAGTCCCTTGGAATGTCTTCTTGGATTAAATATGATGTCTTGAAACTTCAGGGAGTGCCAAGTGCCAGGGTTATGTAGCAACAGGTGACAAGGAGGACGCATTGGGCAGACAGAAGGGCTTGCTGGCTGCTGGCGAGCCGAGGGTTTAAATGTGACGCTTTTCAATCCCCTAACTGCTCCATGATCAGACCTTTGCTTTGTTCTTTGATGCAGGTGTTTAGAGGAATATTTTAAATCCCCCTAAAGCTGGGTTTTTCAATTGTGGGGTTGTTATTGATTTTAGATGGACAATTTTGTGGTCAGAAAATATTAAATACTTCCTAGTACTTGCTGTGTTCGTGTATACTTCTTGCATAATAATGTGACATGCTAAGTGTTGCCAAGTAAAATGTATATTGCAGAGTTATTAACCCAACCCTGTAATTATACAATCTAAACGCTTCCTGGTTTTTTTTGTTGTTGATCAGGGATCTTGTAGACTTGTACTTTCTTAAATACTTTCCTAGGTCTTTTATCTATTCTCCCTTATATTCTTACCATTTGCCCGTTGTGTACTTCAATGGAATCAATCCCAGGTACACAAAATTATGCCTAATATAATCTTGGACCTTTATCACATTGGCCTTGAGGTGTACGATGATCAAAATTAACACTGTGCTGGGCACACACCTGTGATACCAATACTTGGGAGGCTGAGGCAGGAGGACCACTGTGAGTCTGAGGCCATCCTGGGCTACAAAGTGAATTCAATGCCAGCCTAAACTGTAGAGTGAAACACTGTCTCAAAAAGACAACAACAACCAAAACATTAATGCTTTGAGTCTCTATAGCTCACAAAGTTAGTGAATCCTGTTTTCTTTTAGTTTTGCTGCTTAACACTTCACGAGGTCTGTGTTTCCCCTTTGTTCCAGTTTGCCAAGGAACAAGCAACAAGCTCACCCAGTTGGGCACTTTTGAAGACCACTTCCTGAGCCTCCAGCGGATGTTCAACAACTGCGAGGTGGTGCTGGGGAATCTAGAGATCACCTATGTGCAGAGGAACTATGACCTTTCCTTCCTGAAGGTCAGTGCAATGAGTCTGGCCACCCAAACACAGCAGAGGTAGCCATAAGCCAGGGAGGCTGGGACCCGCTGTGGCATGAGTCGTGGTCATGTCTGCTGTGGCAGTTACATTGGAAGGAAAGTACAGATGAGCACTTTCTGAGGACACTGCACCAGCGGGGGCCAAGTCAGAGCAGGAGGGGCTGGAGACAACCTCAGGCTGGCATGGCACCCCAGATCTCTGCATGCTGGTCCTTAAAATGACAATAACAAAACCTGTGAGAGCTGTGCTCGTAGCTTTTTCCCATGATATACAAACTCCTGTCTCTCGTTGAGGAGCAAGGCCAAGCTGCTGAGAGTCTATAACCAGCTCTCAGGGCTCTGCATGTCTGAAAGCAAGCTCCCAAATTTGGGCTGGTGGTACCTGGGTCAGAGCTGCTTGCCTTTCTTTTGGCTGGCTTCCTTTCTCCTGTCCTGCTTCTCTCTCCTCTGTGGTTCTCTCTCTCCTCTCAGCTCTCTCTCTCTTGCCCCCTCCCCCTTTTATTGTTCATTCTCCTCCTAAACAGGACACACTGCCATTGCCAACTTGCTTTAAAAGCAAAAGTGTCACAATACTGTCACGTCCCTTTCCCCCAGCAGCTCCCCCATGACTACATTTGCTGACCCTGTGTGATGGTGCAGGGAGGTGACCTGGGGCCTCTGGGCCCCCAGGAAACCTAGAATCCTCGAGTCTTTTGTGGAGAAATGACATTGTCATGCCCCGTCCTCAGACCATCCAGGAGGTGGCCGGCTACGTGCTTGTTGCCCTCAACACGGTGGAGAGGATCCCACTGGAGAACCTGCAGATCGTGCGTGGAAACGTGCTCTATGAGAACACCTATGCTCTGGCCGTGCTGTCCAACTACGGCAGTGCCAACAGTGCCAACAGGACCGGGCTGCGGGAGCTGCCCCTGAGGAGCCTGCAGGGTGAGCCACGCGTGAGGCGAGAGGCGGGGTCCCTCAGAGGTGAAGCCCTGCACCCCTGCAAAGACGGGTCTGTGAGGGCCACCTGCATGCCCGCTCAGGGCAGGAAGTTGCTGAGGGCTGAGGAAAGGGCAGATGAGAGCCTGCGATGGGGCTCCAGGGGCTCTGGGACATGGAAGTGGGTGATGGCCAGACCATGGCCAGCTGCCCTGTAGGATAGCTGTGCACACGGATGAATGATGGCTGCATCCATGCTATACCCAGAGACATAGCTGGGACCTCCAGGTGCACACACTGTCTTCTCCCCTGTTCATGCTTCCTACGATAGCACCCCTGATAAGCTAGGCACTGTAGGAGATGGATGGTGGTGACAGACACCCACAGAGCAGTCCTCAGGGTCCACAGCAGTGGCACTGCCACCCGAGGCAGTTTACCATGCAGCAGTGGCTGTGTCCTGGGTTGTCTGCAGTGCTGGAACTGCAGGAGAAGGCACGAGTTGCCAGGGCTGCCCGGCTTAGACACCCTGCCATAGGGAGACACATCCTGAGCAGGCCTGTGCCTGGCAATCAGGACCAGGATGAAGGTTTCCTGGGAGAAGCCCAGGCTCCCCTGAGAGGGACAGAGGGGCACCTCCAGTGGAAGGAAACCAGGGCCTGGCAAAGTGAGGGAGGCTTCTGATTTTATTTATTTTTAATTTATCTGCATGTGTACTTGTGTGGCACTGTATACCAAACCCAGGACCTTCGTGCTGAGATGTGTCTCCAGTTATTATTTTGTTACTGTGTTTATTTTTTAAATTTTGAGACAGAGTCTCACCAAGTTGCCCATCGGCTGGAACTTTCCACCCTGTCAGGTCTCTCTGAGTGCTGGGATTACAGATGTGCTCTGCCTCCCAATTCAGAGTGTTTGTGCACGGAAGTCACCAATGCTCCCCTGCCTTGGCAGGCACAGTGCTTCCTCTGTGGACCCAGCCTTCCCAGCCTGAGCTCCCCCTGCCATGTGGGGCAGTGCTCCCTCTGCGGGCCTGACTTTTCAGGCCTTTGCCTGATCTCCTGTGCTCCCTCAAAGCTGCATGCAGCGCAGTGTCCTTGTTGTCCCTGGTGTCCCTGTGACTGCTCCAAGGAAGGACTCACCCAGTCCCTCCACTGTCCTTGGGTGCTTGAGGTGTAGGTGCCCTCATGGCACAGGTCCCCAGAGCTGTGACAGCCTCCTCCTGCCTGACCCTCCACATTGTCCGTCCATGCTGCATGCCCGGCCCAGTGGGCCCAGCACCATGGGCTCTGGCCCTGCTGCACCAACTGTCCTGCTCCCTGCAACAGCTGAACTCACGCTCCTCTTTGGACCTTCGAGTGCTGCTCTATCCCTAGTAGTGTCTCCCATAGACCCTCGGTGCACCCCACATCTCCCAGCAGGACACAGGTACAGGGAAACTGTCTGCGCTTTCTGTGCTCCTAGAGGCGCCGCACCTGCTCACTTTGCCTCTGTCCATGCAGAGATCCTGCATGGTGCCGTGCGCTTCAGCAACAACCCCGTGCTCTGCAGTGTGGACACCATCCAGTGGCGGGACATCGTGAACAACCTCTTCCTGAGCAACATGTCGCTGGACTGGCAGAGCCCTCAGAGCGGCTGTAAGTGAGCACGGATTCCACACCTAAAACAAAGCCATGCAGGAGACTCATTGCCTGCCCTGGTTGAGACCCAGGGACACAGCAGCCACTCATGGGTGTCCATGTGTCTACAGCAGTGCCAGCTGGAACAGGGGATGGCTGCTGGTCCTGGGACCCTGTCCTGCCCACCCTGGGGAATGCCAGACTCTGTACCTTGGCTGCCCTGACTCCCCCAGTGCTGCTGGGAGCCTCTGTCCCAGCTACAGGCATGGATGCCACCCAGGACACCTGAATGAAGTCAGCCAATGTCCGCCAAACACTATGAGTGGCCCGGGCTTGCAAGCAGGGCTGGTGGGGACTGGTCCTCACCCACCACCACCGTCCCAGGAACTGCAGACCCTGTTACACTGTCCCAGCCCAACTGGTCCTCACCCCTCCTGGGCCAGGTCCTTCCACTCTCCCAGGCGAAAGGCATCGCTCCATTCTCATTGCCTTACAGCAGGCAGGGAGCAGCAGGCTAAGCACACACAGGGGCTCAGGGTGCAGCGGATGGGAGTCTCGGAACCATCAGCCAAAGCCGCTGGCCCCTGCCCGTTTGTCTCCTGTGGGTGTACAGTAGACAGGCAACATTCCAGGCATGTGGTTCAGTGGCCTTCGCCACATCCACTCATGAACCCTTCACCCTCAGCACTGGACAGGCACCAACCGGCGGCAGTGCCCCATCCCCAACACCACCACCCACTTCCTTCTCCATGGACATGGTGGCCCCTGGGGCCATCAGCCACTTGTCAGTTGATTTCTGTGGCTGAGATGAGAGCTGACATCGATGTTTACCTTTCAGGCCAAAAGTGTGATCCGAGCTGTCCCAATGGGAGCTGCTGGGGCCCGGGCGCGGAGAACTGCCAGAAACGTGAGTGTGATGCAGAGAGAGTGGGGTGCAGGCCACCATACCCACCCTCTTGCCCTGGGAGCAGAGCCCAAGTCCCCGTGTGGCCACCCCATGAACCTGGGCAAGCACAGCAGGGAGCCACCTGCCAAGGGGCCAGCAGCCAGCAGCCCACAGTGACACCACCACAGGTTGATCCTGGCATCCCCAGCATAACCAGCGAGAGCTCCTGCACCCAGTCCCTGCTGCCACACCGAATTGTTCCAGCTATGGCCTGTTTATCAAGGAGGTCTGAAAGCCTGGACTTGATTGGAGTGGTTCTCCTTAATTAGACCTAGACAGGAAAACACAGCCCCAGAAGGAGGGCCATGAGAAGGGTCCATGAGAAGGGACTGTTAGGAAGGTCCTCGGGTGGGTCACCAGGAAGGTCATGAGGAAGGTCATGACTGGGTTGCGTCTGAATGTGATGCTAGAAACTGGCTCCTGAGCCCTGCACCCACCATGCCCCGCGGCCCGCCCCCGGCACTCAACCCAACTCTCAGGTAACTTCTCTCTTCCCTGTTTCAGTGACCAAGATCATCTGTGCCCAGCAGTGCTCAGGGCGCTGTCGTGGCAAGTCTCCCAGCGACTGCTGCCACAACCAGTGTGCGGCTGGCTGCACTGGGCCGCGGGAGAGCGACTGTCTGGTAAGACCCAAGGCCTGAGGCAGACCTGGCCCCAGCACACTGGCCTCACACGTGTCCTGGCTGTCAAATGGCCCGAGCAGAAGTTCACTGTGTCCATGGGCCACGGACACCACACATGGCTATAGACCAGAGACATCCCAGAAGTCCTGGACCCATTAGGGCTGCTGGATAGGCCTCTTAGGGTCAGCACATGGCGGCAAAGCTCTTCCAGGCCCAGGAAGAGCAGGTCCACCCCCAGCTAGACTCCTGCCATTCAGTGGTTTCAGTGAAGGCAAGGGCACACCTGGGATCCCAGCGGTCTGGGGGACCGAGGCAGGAAAGTTGGAAGTTCAAATCTACCCTGGGCACTTTAGCAATTTAGTGCTCAAAAATCTAACAAAAATGAACCAGGTCTGCAAATGCCACTCAATGTGAAGTCCCTGGGTGATCCCAGAACAAAAAGAAGACTGGACTCAGCTGGTGGGGGCTGCTCCTACCCTGCAGCTGAAGGAGAAGACTGTACTCGGCTCCTTGGAAGGCTGCTGCCTGCTCTCTTCCCTGCTCCCTGGCGGCCTTCCACCTGAGAGTCAATAAACTCTCTGGTGCTGCTCAGACTTGTCCGGGAGCCCAGCGTAAACTGAGTTTAAAAGTAAGGTCGCTCTGCCAGCCACTGCTGGAAGGAGCGGACTCTTTCCTCAGAGACTCGTTTTCTCTGCCCGTGCCCATAACTCACAGCAGCTGGAGTGTAAGGACCTCACCTCTAAGAGCAGTTTTCTGGCTCCCCAGAAGCACTTAGGTTTCCGGGTTCCCTGAGCCTCCTAGGCTTCCCAACCTGGCAGCCAAGCAGCACAGCACCCACTCCTGGGTGCTGGCATCCTTGTTCCCTGACCAGCGCGTCCTGTTCCTCCTGACACAGGTCTGCCGCAGGTTCCGTGATGAGGCCACATGCAAGGACACCTGCCCGCCGCTCATGCTGTACAACCCCACCACCTACCAGATGGATGTCAACCCCGAAGGGAAGTACAGCTTCGGCGCCACCTGCGTGAAGAAGTGTCCCCGTGAGTCCCTGTACCTTGCCCCTACCCCTGCCCTGTACAGCCTGGGGTCGCTGTGACCTCGTCCTCTTCATGCATTCGAGTGTGGGACACCAAGAGAGACACCGCCACCCAGACCCCATACTTCATGCCCTGTTCATGGCCGTGGTCCAGCTGTGCAGACTGTGCAGTCGCAGGACCCCACAGCACCCGTCCATGGCCTCTTAGGAACCGGAACGCACTCAAGTCAGGGCCATAGGTTCTCATGCTTGGGTTTCCACGAGGCCTGCATTCCAGTCTCTGTAGGGGAGAGAGTGGGGGCAGAGTATCCCTGACAGCGAAGGTTTGTCCTGCTGGGTTCGTAGATGGAAAAATTTAACTGTGCAGTGAAAAGCAAACATGATGAGAAAACGTTGCCACATGGGGACACAGGAGACCCTGCGAGGAGGTGCCTGGACAGCCTAGGCAACCACGCAAGGCTGGGGGAGTGGGGTGAGGTGTCAGAGCAGCCTCTGGAGGGGAACGTGTGTCAGGAAGGCCTGCCGAGGGCTGCCTCCACTTCTGTTGGGCCAGGGCCACCTGCCACCCTTGCCACCCACTCTCTGTCCCTGCAGGGAACTACGTGGTGACTGACCATGGCTCCTGTGTCCGGGCCTGCAGCTCCGACAGCTACGAGATAGAGGAAGACGGTGTGCGCAAGTGCAAAAAATGTGAAGGGCCCTGTCGCAAAGGTAGGGACCTGCCACAAAAGTAGGGACCTGAGGGGTGGGCCGGTACTCCTGACCCTGCCCAGGCACTCGTGGCCCCTGCCAGATGAGCACACCACTCTTTTAACCTGTGTCTTTTTCCTGGTCCTGGAGTTTAAGCCCAAGGCCTTCACACTAAGCTTTTCATTTTGAGACAGTGTCTCTGAGTCATTGAATTGCCCAGGCTGGGCTCAAATTTGAGATCTTCCTGCCTCAGCCTCCCAGAGTGCTGGAATTACAGGCATGCACCATCCATTTTATCTTAGGACAGAAGTTAAAGCTGTGACAGTGGCTCAGGCTTCAGAAAGGCACTGGTCCAAAAAGCCCAGTGAGCAGAGCCACAGGAGCAAGGCACAGAGACAAGTGGCACAGGGGCTAAGGAGGAAACAGGGTGCTAAGGTCCCTGGGCAGTCAGACCACCTACCTAGGGTGGTGGGAGGGGGGGTCTGGGACACAGAGTGGCACCTGCTCATGCCTGTGAATGCCCAGAGCCTGCCAGGGGTCCCAATACACTGGACTCCCCCAGTGTCTGTCAAGTGACTGTGTAACTGCATGGAAGGGATGCACCTGGTAAGGGTTCTCACAGCAGTGGCCCCTCTCTGCTCCTGCTGCCTGTGACCCCCAGAGCTGCTAACTCTGCAGGTGAGTGAAGCCAACCTCTCTCTCCTCAGTTTGCAATGGAATAGGAATTGGGGAGTTTAAAGACACACTTTCCATAAACGCCACGAACATCAAGCACTTCAGGAACTGCACAACCATCAGTGGGGACCTGCATATCCTCCCAGTGGCATTTCGGGGGTGAGTGGCCCTCGGTGCCCCCGCAGAGGGAGCAGCCTGCGTCCACCAGCAGCTGACACTCTGCCACCCTTGCAGGGATTCCTTCACGCGCACGCAGCCCCTGGATCCCAAGGAGCTGGACATCCTGAAGACCGTGAAGGAAATCACAGGTCTGGGAGCATCCACAGCCTCTGTGGAGCTGGCGCTCCCCGGAGAGAGCTAGGCAGTACTTCCCCCGCTCCCCGGTGCAAGGCGCTGCCCTGAAATGCCACCATTCAGGGCTAATTTGCTGATAGTTTCCCTGCAGGCATGGGGAGGACACAGATGACCAGCTGGGAACCTGTTCAGTCCCTCACTCCCTGGCCTGCACTGGCACCTCTGTGCCCTGGCCCCAGCACTTCAGTTATAGAGCAGGGAGGAGGAGGGGAGGGTAGATTCCCCACTGCTGCCCACATGACAGTCTAAGGAGGGTCCCCAGACCAGGTCCTCTGGAAAGAGCCATGCCTCACGCTGTGTCTGAGCCTTCTTCTGCCTTCCAGGGTTCCTGCTGATTCAGGCCTGGCCTGAGAACAGGACCAACCTCCACGCATTTGAGAACCTGGAAATCATCCGTGGCCGGACAAAGCAACAGTAAGTTGGCTCCGGCAAAGCTGGCTGATTTGTGTGTGTGTGTGTGTGTGTGTGTGTGTGTGTGTGTGTGTGTGTTTATTTTGAAATTAGACTTATAGAGGAGTTGCAGCAGTAGTGCCCAGACTCCTGCTGTGCCCTCCCCAGCTCCCCTTTTGTGACTGCTGACACCCAGACCAAGGGCCCGCGGCAGGAGGGCACCAGCTTGAGTAGCACTGTCAGCTACTTGACACTTGCTGTCTTCCTTGCATGACTCTGTCCCTCTCAGCGCCCAGCCCCAACCCCTACTGCTCTTAGGCCTGGCTCTTCCCAGACCCTCCAACCTGCACCTGTTTTGTGTCTTCCCCAGTGCCTTGTAGACGGGAGACCTGGGGAGACACGGAGCAGGGCTTGTGGAGTGACCGTTTCTGGCTGATGGTGTCTCACCATGTAGCTGAGGCTCTGCACATCCCATTAGGGCAGAGAGATTTGCTATTTTCCCCAAGATTTCCACTGTTCCAACTCTGAAAGTGATTCAGAGAGGGAGATAGGGGAGGTCTTTAGGCCAAGCCTGCCTTAGAAGCAGGCTGTTATAAGCATTGCCACACACACAGTGCCGAAGGCCAAGTTATATTGGCCAGTGAGAGAGAAAACCAGAAGCCACACACAGCAGCAACGCACCACCCACCACACACCACGCTGGCTGATGGCCTCTGACACTGAGCTCAAGCTGCACCCTACCCTGGAAGGCTCTCTGCTTGGGACTCAAGACACCTTCCCGTCCCAGGGTTGTGCAGACACTAGGGCACAGAGCAAGGTCTTCAATGGCTGCGCCTCAGCACCGGTGATGCTGGCAGGGATTTGAGCAGGTCAAGGCTGTCTCTTTTCCCACTTGAACGAGAAGCCCAGTGATACCAGTCCCCCTGCTAGGATGACACTGGTTCCAACATGCCTGCGCCTGGCCAAAACTCTGCCCTGTGGGAAGACCCAGCCCACTCTGGCCGCGGCTGCCCTGGGCACAGGCGGGCTGGCTACGTTAGAGGTCAGAACATATCCTCAATGTCCAGCAAAATACAATGGCCTGAAGAGATTTGCTCAACCTCCCAGGATGCCTCAGAGTGAAAGACAGGAGTGTCCACTTGCAAGCCCACAGCACAGGGCAGCCTCCTGCAGGCCCTGGCCATGTACCCCGTCCCAGTGCCTGCTCAGTCAGTTCTCTTCCCATGCAGTGGCCAGTTTTCTCTGGCTGTGGTTGGCCTGAACCTGACGTCCCTGGGTCTGCGCTCCCTGAAGGAGATCAGCGACGGAGACGTGATCGTCTCCGGGAACCGGCATCTGTGCTACGCCAACACCATCCACTGGAGAAAACTGTTTGGAACTGCCGGACAGAAAACCAAAATTGTAAACAACAGGAATGAAAGGGACTGCAGTAAGTGACCTGCGCTCCCACCCTGACTGTGCAAACAGCCCCTGCGAGTCATTTATTCTGGGGTAGAACGGGAAAGGCCTAAACGTTTCAGTCACATTTTCCGTTCTTTAGGAAGGGAGTTAATATCTGCCCTGTCCTAATTATGGGTTAGCGTAGGATTACAGGCGCTGTCTCCAGAGCGTTCCTCCTTTTTGTGGGGCAAATTTTCCTGAAGTTGGAGCTTCCAGTTGTTTGCAATTTAATACCTAAGCTGGGAATCAGTGGCTTTCTGTGAACTGTGCCTGGAGGCTGCTTTCTGCTCAAGGCAACCTGTGATGACAGAGGTGGGCGTGTGCACCCCACATGGCCAGAGCAAGACAGGTGGCCTTCACATCTCGGCTTTGGGCTCCAATCGATAGAAGCAATCCAGCACAGACTCTTCCCACTGGAGAAGCTGCCCTGAGTTCCAGAGCTGGTCTGTCCTGCCTGGGCTTGCGAAGTAGGCTAGCGACCTTAATCTCTTAAGACTCAGGATTCTTCATCCATGAAATGGCTTTGATAGGCTTGGCAGGGTGGTGCTTTCTTGGGAGGCTGAGCCAGGAGGATCACAGTTTGGAGCCCAGCCTGGGCCACTTCCCAAGATGCTATTCCCAAAGGCGGTGCATGGGATGGGGAGCAGAAACGCACTGAGTCCCAAGCCACCCTGGGGAAGGAAAGGGCTTGATGATGAATCCCTTGACAGGGTGCTGCTCAGCTAAATGAAATTCCGTGTGTGGTGCCCAGGCATGGTGCCTGGCAGGCAGCAGGTGACCACAAGGTGTTTGTCATAGAACAACAGCGGGTCTGGCCTGTGAGGGCTGCTGTGACCCCAGGCCTGCTTCTGCCATGCCGACTGTGCGTGCACACACATGGGAGGGATGGTCTCCCAGCTAGCCAGCTGACTCAGCCCCTGCCCTGACCCTCCATGTGTTTCAGAGGCTGATGGTCACGTCTGCCACCCGCTGTGCTCCTCCGAGGGCTGCTGGGGCCCCGAGGCCCAGGACTGCGTCTCCTGCCAGAATGTGAGCCGGGGCAGGGAGTGTGTGGCCAGGTGCAACATCTTTGAGGGGTAAGAGCTGTTCCTTGTCTGCCCTGGCCCAGGTCATGCACAGGATTGGTGAGGGTTCTAGCCTTCAGGTAGACTCTTCCTGATTGTCACCAGCTTCGATCTGTGTGACTGTTAGGCTTGCGACAAATTGTTCCGCACTGCAGGGAACAAGCACTTTGTTCCCTCTTACTCCATTTATAAAATCTCTCTTCCTGAAGACACCTTACATCTTTCTAACTGGCACAGAGGTTCCAATTGCCGGAGTGTGGTGGGCTGGTGTTTCCCGTGTGGCCCACACAGCCCTGGGTGTCCAGTCCACTAACACCAGTGCTGTCTCCGAGTCAGTTATGCTTTCAGTGCCTCCCAGGTGTGCGCTGGCACTGAGTGGAGGGGACAAAGTGAGAAATGGCTTGCAGGATGCTCACTAAGTTGAGCTGTAATCAATAAAGAGGACAGTCTGTGGGTATTGAAAAGCCCAGTGCTGGTGTGAAGTTTCCCACAACTGAATTAATTGGAAAGTCAGATGGTAGGGGAGAGAGGAAGTGACAATTCTAAAATATGTATAAGAGAACATAACTAGGATGGAGAGGCACTTAGGAATTTCAGGCAGCGGTGGGGCTTTGCAGGGTGCAAAGCCCCAGGCCCTTATTTGTTGCAGGCCCAGAACAGTTTGGGTACCTGACTTCGACCTCAGCTCCAAGGAGTATTCAGCTGAAAATAGTCATCCATGTTTTGAGCTTTCAAGTCCTTTGAGATGCAAGGAGATTAAAGTAACCACACCCAGAAGCCCAAGTCTCTCCTGGTCCAGCGGCAGCCTGCCCCTCAGCTGTGACCCCAGAACACCGCTGTATTGTTTCGTTTCATTGACTATCTTTGCCTAAAGGGCAGCAATTCGAAACACAGGTCTTAGGGTATAACACTCCTGCCCCTTGCTTGGCTTGAGGGCCTTTAGGAACCCCAGGCATGTCGATTTGCGCATTGTGAGGTGGCTGAAAATATTACAGTACAGATGCGCCTTGGTCTACACATCTGGACAAAGGTTGAAGATACTGCAGGGAAAAACTCTGATGCCTGTATTCAACACTTCCTCTTCAGAGGAATAACCACTGCGTGAGTTTAATACTCTGCCTTCCCTTCCTGCTCCTGGTCTGCAGGGGCCTCTTCTTCCGCTTACCATGAGTCAGTATCAGAAGGAGGCATCCCTGATCAGGACTTTTTGCCATTTTTGTCTTGCTTGCTCAATATACAGAAACTGCCCTGAAAATGCTGGGCAAGTGCTACAGCTATAAAGGAACCTAATGTGGTAGCTCCTCGAGCTGAGCAGGAATTTGGGTAATAAAACCATGCATTATGCCACAGTGCAGTCCTAGAGACCTAGCTCTGTGACCTCTGCCTAAAGTGGTTTTGAATTTCGAGGAGAGGCCATCTGCATTCCCTGATGCCCACAGCCTGTCTGTGTCCAGACGCATGGGATTGTATCTGCAAGGGCCAGTGTGAGCATCTCCCTTCTCCTTTCTCAGGGAGCCCAGAGAGTTCGTGGAGAATTCTGAGTGCATCCAGTGCCACCCGGAGTGCCTGCCCCAGGCCATGAACGTGACCTGCACCGGCAGGGTAAGGATCCTCCACCCAGCTCCCTTTTGGAGGACTCTGGGCAGCCACTGCGGGCTGGAGACTGACGCAGGGGGGGCCAAGGGCAGCTGAGTCTGAGGCTGTCTCACACCCCTGGTGTGAGGAGCGCCCTTCTGTGCCGCCATCCTGACATTGCTCCTCCCATTCAGCAAGGGCAGCCGAGGCCCTTGGTTGGGTGGTTTCCCACATCAGCCAAGCCCCTTTAAAGGCTTAACACCCCCTTAACTCACTCAGAGAAACTTTAACAAAACTCCTTCCAAAGTTTAAATTCAGCTTGATTCCTGCGTGCTGAGTCAATCTCATGAGGAGCAGAGTGTGAGCTCAGGGCCTTCTGATACCAGACAGCCTATATTCTTAATTCTCACTGTCACGGTGGGGAGCCCTGTTCAGGCCCCGGCTTTGCAGCCAGGGCCAAATCTACCAGTGGAGGACATTTCTCAGTGCTTCTCCTCAGTGGATGACTGGGCTGTATGTGGAGTACAGGCTGTAGGCTGCTCTGTGGCTGTTACCAAGGAAGCCACTGTCATGGGATTGTGTAGTGTTGGGCTACATTTTCACCTTTACTGTGAATTCACTGCTGATACCAGTGCACTTTGGTCCCAGGCCGTTTAGTCTCTGTGTGGCTCCCTGAGCTGCTGTCTCGAAGCTGGAACGCAATGCCAAGTTGATTTATGGCAGGAAAGGGCTGTTGGGGCTCACAGTGTCAGTTCTGCCTGGCCGGCTCCATGCCAGGGCAGCCTCATAGAGGGCAGCTGCTCAGCTCAAGGGGGCCAGGAAGCAGCAAGAAAGGAGGAGCCGGGAGGAGAGGTGACCCCAGAGCACCTCGGTGACAGCCTCTACCCAAAGTCACAGGGGCCCAGAGACATCTAGATCCAAGCCACTCGAGTGAGCAGACAGTGGCCATTGTGTCACCAAGGGACAGCTTCCTAACGGCATCTCAGCCCCCAGAAAGCAAGGTGCAGCCCAGTGGCCCAGGGCTTTCATTTCTGGGGTTCTGCTGGGCATAGCAGGGACAAAAATTAGAGGAAAAACATGGGCTGGGGATCAGCTCAGGGGAAGGGAAGGAGCCATGGGTTTGATCCCCATGACCATAAAAATAAATGCAAGTGTGTGCCAAGCAAGGTGGCTTGGACAAGGGAAGGTCCCCATACAAATAGCAAGTAAAGGCAGTGCTTATAAAAAATATTTATTTTCCTCCTTTTCTTCTTTTCCATCCTAGAGATTAAACTCAGAGCCTTTGCACTGAATTACATCCCCAGCCCTTCTTTTCTGTTGTGAGAAATAGCTAAATAGCTAAATTGTCCAGGCTGGGCTGGAGTTATGATCCTCCTGCCTCGGCCTCCTGGAGTGCTGGGGTGACACCCAGCTGAGTCCTTTGCTTTACACCTGTGTACAATGTACGCATTAAAGGGAGGAGAACTTTGTGTTCAGTTATGTGTGCTGGCTGTGTTGAGCCAGAGCGTTGCTAGAACTTGTCTTTTACCTTGCTTTCCCTCACACATGCATGTCAGTGCAAAGCTAGTCTGTCTCATGAGAGAAAGGCAAGCGCAGACTCTGTCCTGTGCTCCGCCAGGGCCCTGACAACTGTGTCCAGTGCGCCCACCACATCGATGGCCCCCACTGTGTCAAGACCTGCCCGGCCGGGGTCATGGGAGAGAACAACACGCTGGTGTGGAAGTACGCGGATGCTGGCCGGGTGTGCCGCCTGTGCCACCCCAACTGCACCTATGGGTAAGTGGGGCCCGGCACCCTGCAGGATGGGCAGAGCACAGGTGCCCCTGCTGCAGGCCCTCACAGTGTCCGGAGGCCCCCAGCAGCTACCAAGCTTGGTCCACACTAGAGGGGTCACTGAGATGCAGGAGCCTGGGCCATGGCAGCTGCAGAACAAGCCGGACACAGGTTTAGGTGCTAGGGGATAGTTCCACCTCTTAGGCTATGAGCTTGACCAGCATCCAGACAGAGAGGCTGGAGCAGGCCGTCTGATAACCCTGAGGCCCCTGGTCCATGCCCTGTCCTCAGGCCATTCCTGAGCCGGGGCTGTGAGACTCCTGCATGGGAGCAGCCTGTGGCCCCCATAGTTGTCACCCAGGGCTGCAGGGCCTCTGAAGACCACCCTGCCCTCCTCTGCCTGGCCCTACATGTGCTCCTCATCCTGGTTCCCTGTACCTCCCTGCGTACCCCAACACCTGGAGCCAGCTGGGGGATGTCCATGCCTGTTGGAGTGAACAGTGCATAATGACACTGCTCACTACGTGCTGGCTCCCTCCTGCCAGGACAGCCTGTCAGACAGGCTGTGTGAACCCATGGTGCATCCCAGATCAGCCAGCAGCCGGCAGTGAAGCTCGGGGCTCCAGTGATGGAGCACTCGCTCATACTGTCTTGTGAGCCAGTGAAAAATATCCACAAACAAACACTAAAGGACAGCGAGAAAAACGTGTTTCTTTTTCATTTCCTACAGATGTACCGGGCCAGGTCTGCAAGGCTGTGCAATAGAAGGGTGAGGAGCTCAGCTCTGGCTCTACAGGATCCCATCCAGCACTGAAAAAGTCATTTCTGATTGTCTATCCTGCGCCCCCATCATGCTCATCCTGCCCCTCTTCCTCCTCCTCCTCTTCCTCCTCCTCTTATTCCTTTTCCTCGTCTTCTTCTCTTCCTGCCACTTCTCTTCCTCCTCCTCCTCCTTCTCTCCTCCTTCTTTCTCTTCCGCCTTTTTCTCTTCTCCTTGTCCTTCTTCTTCTAGCAGTGGAGACAGAACCCAGGGCCTCACACTGAACCACATCCCCAGCCCATTTTATTTTTATTTTGAGGCACTGCCTCTCAAAACTGCCCAGGCTGGCCTAGAACTTGCCAACCTCCTGCCTCAGCCTACACGTAGCTGGGATGACAGGTTTGTGGTATCCAGTGTCTCTGCCTGTCCTCTAGACTGGTCACATCTGACCTTGTTGGCCTGGTTCCTGGGTAAAGGGACCAGGAAGAGGTGTGGGCTGCCCCTGGGAGTGACTTCTGTGCCCCTCCACCGCTCTTCATGAGCAGAGGTCTCCACAGGCACATTTTTCTCAGCCGTATTTTGGCCTTCTCGTCTCCTGGCCTCTCCATTTTCCCACTAACCCGGGTGATCCTGAGACAGGAGATGAGGGTGTGGCAAAGCTAGCTGGGGGAGAAGGTGAGACCTGTTGATTATGAAATCCCCGACGTGTGGACAGCCCGATTCCCAAGCCCTGCACCTGGGCGTCCCTCAAGAACTGGAGCAGGTTTCTGAAGGGACCGCCTAGCCCAGACATCAAGAGGAGGGGTGGCTCCACACTGAGCGTGTGCCCTGCATTCTCGGACATGGCAGCTGCTCTCAGACTGCAGGGTGTTTGCTTTTCCTCTCTTACGTGGACCAAACTCGCTCTGCAGAGCCGGCTTCTTTTACTTCCTGTAGAAAACTGCTATTTCTGTGCTTTTTTGGACCGATTCTTTATTCAGAACACAAGGAACCTAGAAACCACCCCCAAGAAGATTCTAGCCCCCCAGAACTCAGTAAGAGTCCCGCCACAAACCAGAGTCCTTCGGGCCTCTCTGCTGGGTGCCAGGTGGGGCGACTCTCTCATTACTTCCGTCTGGACATGCATTGTCAATGGAGGCAGGTGGCCTCTTCCAGCATCTTCCTGCAGACACACCTGCCATTGCTGCTTGAAACATGGCACGAGGACAGCAAAGCTGCCACTTGTTTCCCACTCAGGGGCGGCAGGGGAGAGGACTCTCCCCAGCAGCAGCGCCGTGTAGGGATCTGAACTGTGCACAAGACGCTTGCTTGCCACCCCCAACCAACCATCCAGCCAGGCTCCAGCTCTTCCGCCCTTCCGGTCCTGCCCGCAAAGCCCCCTCTCACCCCGCTCTTCCTCAGCCTCTGCTCACCATGGTTGGCTCACAGCTGGTGGTGGCAGCTGGTCACACCTGGCCTCAGGTGGAACCCCAGAGAGAAGTGAGGCAACACCTTGATCAGGACCCCTTCCTTTCTGGCTCTCCTGCCCAGGCATCAGAAACACTTTCAAGCTCCACATGCCGGGCTCGGGCAACTAGTGATGAGGCGTCCCACTGCGTCCATGCTTAATTTTCTTGTCCTCTTTTCAGTTACTCAGGCTTACTCCTTGGCTCCCCATGGATCATGCTCTGTAGCCAATTATTCCTTCTATCCTCCAGCATTCCCTTTGCCATAATAAAAGCTCATTAACCCAAACCGTTAGCTGGGGATTTGGTGTATAGTGACTTCCACACTGCCTGAATATTGTGAAGCGTCATTTTCATGTAGCAGTTGACCCACTTAAGAGGAACCTGCAAACAGTTTGGTACCTTTGTTCCCTTCAAATGGTGCTGCTGACTAATTTGTGTTCATTAACATTTCTACCTGAAAATAAGAATCAAGTTGCCAGGAATTCAAATGCGATTCTTAACAATAACAACCCTCCACCCTGCACAGCCAAAGGGGCCTGTTGGAGACTCCTAGTTCAGACTCCCTGATGTTGCCAAGCAGGTGGCCCTCCTCCCACCTAGCCCAAAGCCTCACTTCGAGCATCCCTTCCCTGGGATTTGCACCATGTGGTGACATCACACAGGACCACGGTGCTGCTTTTCACAGCTCAGTCCCAAGGCTTTGCAACCCTGGGTCCTGTCCTGGAGGCCTGGGCTCCAGGCTGGCTAGGTCTCAGTTGCCCACCTGATTGGGAGACAGTGCCTGGCTGGGCTCCTTCATTGCTCCGCCAGCTCCAGAAAAGAGCAAAATAAAAAGCACTGTGAAAGTCTGAATCACTTTAAACCATACGTATCTCAGTAACAGATTAAAAAGTAGGTGTCCTGTGGATACAACTTGTGAGCTGCAGTTTTGGGGGTGCTGAGTGTGCTGGACTGGGGAGAGGCTGACGATGACATGAGGCCTCACCTTTTTCCCTGGGGAGCTGTATACATCCACTTTCTGGGGTCGTTTGAAATGATGGCACTGTGCCAAAGGTGCAGGAGATGTGCAAACCTCAGCATCACCAGCTCTATCTCTCCCCACTGCAGGACCAAGGTCCCATCCATTGCTACTGGGATCGTGGGTGGCCTCTTCCTGCTGGTGCTGCTGGGCCTGGGCATCGGCCTCCTCATGAGGCGACGCCACATTGTCCGCAAGCGCACGCTGCGCCGGCTGCTGCAGGAACGCGAGGTGAGCAAGGCCGGCCACGATGGGCAGCCTTACATGGGCTGCAGTGTGTACCGTCTGGAACTTCACGTGGCTCGGCGGTTTCCCATCACTGGAGCAGATTCCTGAGACAATCAACTGGCAGAGGGGAGGCTTGTCCTGGTTCCTTCATGGCTATGCCATTGCTCGGGTCTGTGGTTAACAAGCCCACAGCCTTTGTACTGGGAAGCAAAGCAAAGGAGAGAATGGTTCCCCATCCCTTTCACTGTGCACTCCAGGGAACTGCCAGGGCCTCATGTGCAGGACACTTGTCCAAACCTCACAGACAGGACCACAGGGCTGGGAACTGTTTTGGGAGCAACATCTGCGTCCACTTGTTCTGGGGGTTGCTCTTGGCTGCCCAGTGAGTGGGTGTTGGTGTCTCCAGATAGGCATGCAAAGTACTGTGACAGCACAGGGGCCTCAGCCATAGCAGAGGAGGCTGGGCAGGCGCTGCTGCAAGCTCCAGGGCAGGCTCCACGTGAGCCAGGGTCACACTGGAAAGTCACTGTCCATGCATAGCTGCTCCTTTTCAGGCTATGTGGCTGGTTGCACCCTCAGCTGGGGTCTGTGTTCCGCACTGCGAAACCTCATCCCCCGGTTCCAGCGTCTTGGTGCTGCATGGGCCCTGCTGGCAGCACCTTGGGTGAAATGATTGGGAAGAAAACGGAGATTGAAACAGTGCAATGGATGTGCATTCTGACACGGCACTCCTGTGTTGTCTCTCTACCATGTTTTATAAGTCCTCTGTCTTTTTGTGTTTTGTTTTGTTTTGCTTTGCTTTGCTTTGTTTTGGTTTGTTTTGGTTTGGTTTTGATTTTACAGTACTAAGATTGAGCCCAAGGCCTTTGCACTAAGCTACATTGCCCTGCTCTTCGCTTGGAGACAGGGTCTCACTAAAATAGGAAGTTTCTCAGGCTGGACCCACACTTATGATCCTACTGCCTCTGCCTCCAGAGTGTTGGGCCTCCATATTGGGCTCCTCAGAGAAAGTGCCTTCTCCTTTGCACCAGTGTGCCGACTGGTGCCAACTTGTGCTGACTTCAGACTCATCTAACCCCATGCCCCATGGCAGCCTCACATCTGTGCCTTCTCTTCACAGCTGGTGGAGCCCCTTACACCCAGCGGAGAAGCCCCTAACCAGGCCCTCCTGAGGATCCTGAAGGAAACAGAATTCAAGAAGATCAAGGTGCTGGGCTCTGGAGCATTCGGCACAGTCTACAAGGTGGGTCCCTGGGTCCTTTGGGATGGGAGGCCACCAGGCCCTCATGCCCATGGGTGAACAGGTCCTGGGCATCTCAGTTCCACCACAATCTACTCCACCTCAGGGCTTGGGATCCCAGGGTTTATTTAGAGGAATCTTTTATAACCACAGTGCAGATACAGGAGCATGTTATGGGCGGTCATGGCCCTTTCGGGGGTGAGTGACACAGGAGGACATGTGGCAGCTGAGAAGAGGGGCTGCCTGTCCTGCATGGAGCTGTGGTTCCAGCAGCATCCCTGCCCTGGAGGACAGCATCACCCTGGAGAGCCGTCCAGCACACCGGTCAGCATTGCCTGTGTGACCACGGCCAGCTAACTCCCCTCTCTTGTCCCAGGGACTCTGGATCCCGGAAGGTGAGAAAGTGAAGATTCCTGTGGCCATCAAGGAGTTGCGAGAAGCCACATCTCCGAAAGCCAACAAGGAAATCCTGGATGTGAGTTCCTCCCTTGAGCTGAGGTCCTCTTCTCTGGGTCTGGCATCAGAGGCTCTCAGTTAGATGGGTTTCCATCCCTACAGTCTAAACATTTGCTTTCCAATTCTTCTTCCCTCTCTAATTGGGATAATTCAGTCCTCTGATCCAGAAGTCTCATCTCCTCCATTCTGCTTTTTCTCTTTCCCAGGGACCAGTAATTTATTTATTCATTTATTTATTTTACAGTACTAGAGATTGAAACTAGGGCCACAGCACTGAGCTGCCTCCCCAGCCTCCTTGCCTCTCTTTAATCCGAGACAGAATCTCCCTGAGTTGCTAATTTTCCCAGGCTGGGCTTTAGCTTGCAAGCCTCCTGCCTCAGCCTCCCAGAGTGCTGAGATTCGGGAGTGCACTGCCACCCCTGGCCTAAACTCTTTATTTAGATTATCACCACTGCATGAACATTTTCCTCACCAGCATTTCTCCAGTCAGCTGTGGGTATGGAAACAGAAACAGATTTGCAGGTACGGTGTGTGGCTGTCCCGACAAGGGACCTTGTCTCAGAGTCTTCCCACCATGCTCTGTTTTGTTCTCCAGGGAAAGCAACTGCATCTCCCTTTGAGCGAAGTGCTGAGTGTTTCAGGCTAGGTGCAGCCGCACACTGGCCGCCAGCTCTCAAGAAGGGCCTGGGACAAAGCATCCCCAATTCAGCTCTCTTTGGGAGAAAATGGTGCCTTCTCAGCCTCACACAGCTGGAGGTGGTCAGAGCCTGTCACTGTCTCTGACATTGTCTTAGCTCTGGAATGGCCTTTATGAACAGGCCTCATGAGGCCCATTGTATAAACAGGTGGTGATCTCCCAGCACTCTAGGAGGCTGAGGCAGTAAATGTGAGCCCAGCCTGGGCAATTTAGCTACTTAGTGAGACCCTGTTTCAAAGTTTAAAAAGGAGGGGAGACTGGGACTGTATCTCAGTGCAAAGGCCCTGGGTCCCAGCCCGGTACACATTAAATGAAACATTGACCTCCTTCTGCATCCTCTCCCACTTGCTACCTTAATGCTACATCTGTTCACATGGCTCTCTGTCCACTCCTCTGGCCTCCCAGCCCAGCACAGGCTGCACCCTGCCAGGGAAAGCCAGCTGTGAGGACCCTTCCTGGGTGGCACTGAGCCCACGGACGTAGGTCTGAGTTGCCTGGAGCTATTGAAATCTCAGACTCTTGTCCTGAGACTAGGCAGGTGAAGGAGGGCCAGAGGAGTGTCAGACAGCGGTGGTGAAACTATGGCACGTGTGCCACAGCAGGCTGTTCGGTATCATTGGAAGCTCTAAAAGCCTCGCTGTTGCTGGGCTAGGGTTAGGGAAACAGAGCCAAAGGAAAGGAAGAAAAGGTGGTTATAATTATTATTGTACAGTGCACTAGGGAGTCCCAGTGCTGATGACATGCTTATCAGACTAAATTATCTTTCCTTGGAAAGGTTAATGGATTAGTGTCGGCTTGTCAGCATGCTGTGGAGGCATTAACACGGTCATGAAACACGGGACAGGATCGGGGGCTCACTGCACCGCTGCAGCTGCAAAGAAAATCTTTCTGCTGAACCTGCTCCCACCTCTTGCTCCTCCGAAATATCCCAGTGAACCACGTGGGGAACACAGAGCAGGGCCACATAGAGGTGCTCTGAACAGCAGGGTAGATCTGTTAGAGGAGACAATTTCCACTCTGAGGCTTTTGCTGCAGGAAACCCGCAGTTTCTGGGGATAGAGCGGAAGCCGCAGAGAGGAAAGGCTTAACAGTTGCAAGTGTCAGACATCCGAAGGGCCCTGTTTTGCCTCTTTTTCATCTCTTTGCTGGTCTCCTTTTGGCTCCCTCTCCCCCTGATTCTTCAGTCACCTTTTTTTTTTTTTTATTTAAAGAAAAGGAAACGAAAAAAAAATACATGGAAATTAAAAAAAAAGGGTAGAAATAATTCTAAATTACAGACAAACAAAAGGTAAGCTTTGATCTCCTGAAACCTTAGCTGAGACAGAGGAGGACTTCCGAGCCTCCAGCCTAACCATCCCGAGGCAGGCCCACTTGGCACTTAGCATCCCGGCTGCCTGGGGCTATGTGGGTTCTGAGAGGCTGAGAGCCTCAAAGGAAGGGGACATGGGTGGCCTCCCTTAAGGGACGGTGGTGGCGCCAGTGCTGCTGAGGCCAGTTCACCCTTTGTGAAATATGCTGCTCTTATGTCCTTCTGAACGCCAGCCTTCACTCACAAGTGTCCTCTGGGTCCAGCGTGTAATAGGGCCTCAGTTCTACCTGGCCATCAGGGGCTTGCTCTAAAGTGTCAGGAGCTCCTCCCCTCACGCAGGCCTTGTACTGAGGAGTTAAGACCCAGTGTGATTCTGCTCCCCTTCATAACATAAAGTGATTCATGATGACGGACACAAGCAACAAAGAGGGACTCTGAAGTCACGTCCTCGAGGAGGACCCACCAGCAGGCTGTCAAGTGGTCCCTGAAGCCAAGGGTCACCCTGAGGGAACTCGGTTTCCCAGCACAGGCTCTGCTCTGATGGCCACGGGATTCTGAGCATACTTGCTGTGGTCACACGGCACCTGCACCATTTCCAAGACAAACAGTGAAAGATACAGCTCCTTTTAACTGGGCTTCCATTGTGACCCAGAGGGTGGCAGGAAGCCACACCCGCCCACCCTGTGAGCTGATTAGATTTCAGTGGGATGGAACTTGGCAAGACCCCCCCAGCTTGTGTGGCCAGCACCCTACCCAGCCCTGCACCGGTCTGGTCCAGGTTGGTGCCCACTATGCAAGGAAGTGGACTTCTCATGAGGCCCGCTCCACAGCTGTGTCTTCCTGTATAGACCTCCCTAGACTAGGGGAGACAGGACAGCAGGTACTCCTCTCCACGATGCATACACAGACACAGGAAGAGGCAGATTCAGGCCCCTCTGGGTCTGTGGCTGGGTAACTTTTCTGCATTACCCAGTTTAAACACAGCCCAGGAGAGGCAGTGCAAGCACAAGACAGAGCAGATTTGCCTATGTGCCGCGTGGGTGTGTGCCTGTGTGTGTGACAACATTCATCACCAGGGGCCCTGCAGCACTGTGCTTTGTGTCTGCAGTGCCCTTGGGCCCTTGGTGCCCTCTGCCACCTATGGGTGGGCAGTGGGCCGGCAGGAGACAGCAGGCTCAGGTGAGGAGACCTGGGCGGGCCTGACCTGATGTGGAGGAGCAGGCCTCAGGCTCTGCTCTGGGACGGCATCTTCGGCAGGGGTCCCCCAGTGCTGCATCTTGGAGGAGGAAGGGTTTGTTTTGCCTCCTGGTTTGTAAAGGTCTCAATGCCCTGAAGGCCAGCACCAAGGCAGGGCAGCACAGCACAAGAGCTGCCTTGAGAGACCCACCCCTGAACCCTAGACCCTGCCTCCCAGCAGCAAGTCGGCTGTGAGTCCGGGGATCCACTGCCCCTCAAAGCCCTGCCACAAACAAGCAGGCTTTAGGGAAGTACCTAGATAAAAGTCCCAACTACGACCTCATATGAGCCATCCTACTGGCTCTGTGGAGTTCTTTTTCCAAAGATTATTCCCAGAGGAAGTTTTCATTGTTCATGGCATGGATGAGGATTCAACATTGGCTTGGCCCTTTTGTTTTACTGTGCTGGGATTTAAACCCAGGGCTTTCACATCAAGCTATATCCCCAGTCCTTTTGAATGTCTTTATTTCAAGACCAGGTCTCCTTAAGTTGCCCAACCTCGGCTGGAACTTACCACCTCCTGCCTCAGCTTCCCAGGGTACTGGGATGACAGTGTGCATGGCTTACTCTGCTCCATAATGTCAGTGTGTTATGTTTGTCATGTGAAAGAGAAATTGCTCATCCTACCTGGGAAGAGCCTCCCAAGCCTCAGGAAAGCATGGCCGTCATGTGGGGTTGGGATCCACAGCAGCCTGTAGCAGTGTTTACCAGCAGGTCCAGCTCTCACCCCATTTTCCATGAGCACATGCTGGCCTAGGAGCTCTGCGGCAGGGACGATTCCCAAGTGAGGAAGACCTGGGTGCTGGAGGACGCACGCTCTGAGCAGAGGCTGGGGCTGCATCAGGATTTCGAGGGCTCATTCCCACAGCACCCACCTCTGCCTGTCCCTGAGGGGGAAGTCGGCCTCTCAGATCTCTCAGTGTGGCCAAGGAGACCTGCAGGACTCTGGGGCTTGGTTGGAGGGGACAGCAAGGGCTTCCAGGAACCAGAGGACTTGGCATACAAAGTTTGATGGCCGTGGGATTCCGAGCATCCCACAGGGGCTGCAACCCACACACACATCCCCAATAGTGGATGAGTGTGCACAGAGTAAGTGCACGGCCACCACCTGGCCCAGTGCCTCACAGCCCACCTGGGTGCCCACCACCCTCCTGAGCCCCTGCCTGGCCAAGAGCCCTTGGGGTGCATTCTCCCATGGTCCCTGTGGTCTCCTCCTCATCTCAGTGAAGGTCACCACCACCTTTCAGTGAGACAGAGAATTCTGTTGTGTGCAGGGCCAGGAGTGGCTGAACCAGGTTAAATCAGAGTCTGGGTCACAGATGCACACACAGCCCTCAGAGAGCCAGGCGGGGCAGTGTGCAGGGTGGCAAGGACTGCCCACTGGGAGGCTGAGGCAAGCACCTCTCCTGGGGGAAGAGTCTGGCCACATGCATGGCAGAGATGCAGCTGGGATGCACAGTGTTTCCCTGGGACCCTTACTACCTCACCCACCTCAGGGTAGGCCAGGAATGCTCCTGAGTAACAACTTCGTCCACCTGTGCTGGCTGGGTGGCCCTGCCCGAGTACTGTGTGTAGCACCAACTCCACCCCCAGGCTGCAGCAGAGTGAGGCTCATTGTGTTCCCCAGGCCCCTCCTTGGCTGTCCCAACCACGGGGTCCCCCAGTAGTGCACAGACTTGGAGGCACTAGGGGATTCAGGTTCCTCACCCAACACGCCTGGCCCCACATCACAGGGGCCCTGGGACACAGCCAGGAGGGCTCTGTCCCACCTGGGGCTCATCAGCCCCACACTTCCTTCACACCAGGTATTATGTGGGCCTTATCTGCACCCATGCCACATCCCTGGGCCTTTGCACAGATTCGGTCTGCATCCCCAGCTAGAGGAGCTTCCTGACGCATATCTCCTGCCCACAGGAAGCCTATGTGATGGCCAGCGTGGACAACCCCCATGTGTGCCGCCTTCTGGGCATCTGCCTGACGTCCACTGTGCAGCTGGTCACACAACTCATGCCCTTTGGCTGCCTGCTGGACTATGTGCGTGAGCACAAGGACAACATCGGGTCCCAGCACCTGCTCAACTGGTGTGTGCAGATCGCCAAGGTGAGGCGGCACCTGTGGTGGCGGGCAAGGACCAGGCCAGTGAGAGCAGGAAGCAGCCAGGAACCAGGCGACTGGGAGGGAGCAGCCAGGCCCAGGTCAGGGTGGCAGAACACCAAGGGGCACGCGCCCATGTGCCTGCTGGGGACACCACGCTTCCTTCAGATTAAACTGGGCCAGTCCACAAGTGCACAGAACCAACCTTGCCCCCTCAACATGTGGGAGCCCAGTGCACTGGTGCTGGGTGCAGTTTGGGGCCCCCAGCTCTTCCCAGAACACAGTGGTGATTTCCCAAGCATCAGTGTGGCTTCTCCCTGGGACTCAGTGAGGAGCCAGGCTGGGTCGGAAAGACAAGGCAGTCACTGGGCAGGAGGTAGAGGGCTGCAGGGGTGATCAGGGCTCCCCCACTGCATGGCAGCTCCTCCAGTGTCCCAGAGCAGAAATGGGGCTGTCTGTGCCCTGGAGGTGGGCAGGAGCTGCTACTTACTGATCGCCGCCCCAGTTCTCTCTGTCGTCTCAGATGCAGCAGCCGCTGGCACCCAGCAGCGGCTTGATTTCTTCTGAGGAACAGTGCACTTTCCACACTGTGGGCAGATCCCCCAGGGATATACCCTCAGCTTTGTGTTCTCAGACAGCCAGCAGGGTGGCCCAGGCAGGAGGAAAGGTGACTCACAGAACAAATCCTGTTCTGGGGCCCCACTCTGCCAATAGCTGCCTGGGACACCCCAAGACCTGCCAGGAGATGAGGTACAGGGCAGGTGGCCCCCTCCTGTCACCAGGGCAACAGCACCTCTACGCCTATACCATGGGAGTGGTGACTGCCAAGATCAGGTGTCAAACCACTAATGGGCCTGAAGAGGAGTGGGTGCCTACCTGCTGTCGCCGTGTGGAGCCTTCTCATCCCGTGTCGCTGTGAAGCTTCAGCCCATACACATGGGGCTTCTCCCCACCCCAGCACCCTCAGGGTTCTGCAGGACAAAGTCCAGCCAGGTGTACATGGGTCCTCTGGCCCAGAGAGCTCTCCTGTCTCCTGCTGTGGGCAGATGGTCACCCCTCCTCTCTCGGTCTTCAGTGGCCTCTCAGCCATCCCTGTGTGGGGATATCCCTCTTTCTTGCGTTGACACAGCGTTGCACCTGAAATGCTTAAGGGTGGGCTTTAAACACCCTCCCCACAAAAGGGCGACTGGACTCCAGTTGGTAGATCTGCTGAGTGGCTGGGCTCAGTTATTTCCCAATGTGCACAGCCAGGCCTGGGCTCACATACAGAAAGCAGCCAGTCCCTGGGGGCACAGCTCAGCCCATGTGGTTCTGTCTCCATCTTTGGTGAAAAGATCTGCAAAATGCTAGGTCCAAGTATGGTCACCTTCTGGAGTTCTGGGCAGACATGAAACTGGGGCACATGGTTCAGTGCACCACAGAGCTGAGTTCTGGCTACCCCAGAGAGGTTTTGTTGGATGTGGAATTATTTCTGCAGGTCTACACGTGGCCCACCTGAAACTGAAACTGTCACATGACAGCCCCCAGCAACCCCTGGGGGGACAGGGAACACGCTGCTCCTTCCCTGAAGCCTCTGCTCCCCGGCTTCTTTCAGTACGGAGCGCTGCCTAGGCAGATGAGCTTTGCTTTTGGGGTCGTGGTCACCTGGCCGACTGTCTCAGCCCAGGAGGGCTGGCGGAGCTCTGCATTTCTAGGCCCAGGTCCACCTACATGATTTTTTTTTTCAGAACTGGAAATTGAACCCAAGGCCCTTTTTCTTTTTTTAAATTATTTTGAGGTGGAATTTCCCTAAGTTTCTGAGTTGCCCAGACTGTTCTCAAGCTATAGTCCTCAGCCTGGGCCTCCCAGAGTGCTAGGGTTACCCACCTGTGCCACCACAGTTGGTCTCCTTAATGCTGGCCTCACCAGGAAGCACCCAGAGATTTAGCATTGGATCTTTAATTATCTCACCGGCATTCTCAGCTCCTCGGGGAGACTTGCATGTTATGTAGGAGGCCCTGGGCTTGATCACGCTGTAGGCCTTCTCATCAGTTTATTCACGATGTGATGACGAGGTGGCCAGGCCATCTGTGCAAGGCGTTTTACTTGAAGGGCCCACAGCCCACACAGTTTCCCCAGTATGGTGTGGGCCTTCTGGTCTGAGTGGGCCAGAATCAAACCTGACACCAGCAGCTGCAGGAGCGGGACGGGTACCTCCATCCTTCGGTGCTGCTCTCTGGCTCTGAGACTGCATCTGCCCACCCACCTCCCTGGGGAGCAGAGTCAGAGCCACCAGCCTCGAAGCATCGCCTGCAACCACACCGGTGTCTACCGAAGAGGACATTATTTGGTCCTAGTGCTGTCCCTCACAAGGCATCATGGAAGCACAGCAGCCAACAGTGTCCACCGCAGGAGTTTGGCCGGGGTGGGTCCTGTCAGGCTCGCGCGAGTTGTAGTCCTGGGGCCCCAGAGTTTCCGATGGTTCCTGTGTGGTCACTCTGGACTAACTCACTGTGTGAAGTGCTGTTCTCTGGGCTTAGCTTTGAGCTGAAGTCTCCCCTGCGACAGCTTCACTTTTCAGTCATGTAAACACTCCACTGAGGGCAAATTGTCCTAGGAGTGGGAATCTGTCCCAGGAGGGAGGTATCCCAAATTACAGAGATGTGTCCCTGGGTGTATCATCTGAGTATTAAGCAATACTCTTTTTACCAGTTTTTGAGACACTCACTGGCCAGCCGGTTCAAAGTGGGATTTGTTGACTTAATATGTCCTCTGTTGACCTACAAAGGTCAGGGGGTGGGGCTGTCCCGGAAAGCTTTCTGAGCTCTCAGCCATGGCTTCCAAGCTCGTCATCATGGCTACACTGCTAAGAGGGCAAATACAGTTCTATCAACTGGGCAGAAGGAAAAAGAAACAGGCAATGATAATCCAAATGGAAACCCAGAAGGTGACTGCGGGCAGAAGCCAGGGCAGCACTGATGGCCGCAAACGCCACACTGCCTGCCCCACGCAGGGACTCAGCCTCGGCCTGGAGCTGCCCTCACGGCCTTTCAAAGGACAGCTCAAGCCCCGCCCCTGCCCTGAGCCCTGAGCTCATAGGGGCCTCCACTGGCTCAGCTCTCAGGGAGAGGTTCTTGCTCCAGGACTTGTACTCCCTGGTATATAAGCCAGCTAGGAACCACATCTATGGTGTGGTAAGATAAATCCATGAAAGAAAATGTTCCAGTCCCAGAGATAAAGTTCTGATCAGAAGATGCTCTCAGCAGTGCCTGGAAAGCCCCGCACTCTTCCCTGCAAGCCTGACAGCACGCATCGGAGCAGAGTCTGTGATCATGAAGCTGTTTACACAGACTGTGACTCAGCGACTATTTCCCCAAATTTTGGGAACCATGGGGCTTTAAGATCTGGCAGGATCCAGCTCTCAGACCATGCTGGTCTGGCTCTGCAGTAACGCAGGTGACCTGGACGTATGGTCAAAGGCCCTGGTGAGAGGCGAAGGGCCCTGTCCCAGGAGCGACTGTTACAGCTTGGTGAGAACATCCAGCCAGTCTCTGAGATACAGCCCCACGGATGAACTGTTTAGAGCTTCAGTTTAAAGCCTCTGCCTTTCCAGTATATGGGAAAACAGGATTGAAAACACATGAATGCTTTTTTCAAAAATGGTTACAGCAAAAGACACACTTCCATGAATCCCCTCTGGATTCTCCCTGTCACTTCAAACACTGGTCCCACCATTCTTGCCACTGTCTGAAGCAAGTCTGCAGGTGACCTTTTCATCTTTACGGGGTGACTGCTGTGCTGGGAGCCATTCAGTGGAAAGGCAGCTCCTTGAAACACGATGCTGTGTCCTCACGTACCTTCCTCACTGGCCCTGTGTGACTTCTGGCTTCTCCTCAAATTACATGGACTGCAGGGCAGCCAGGACAGCACAACTACATACGTGCAGGAAAGAAGACTCCAGAGCCGCGCAGGATGTGGTAGTATGGTGGGCTGAGTGTGTTTGAAGAAGGGCAGGGTCCTGAGGACGACCCATGCCAGTGTCTTTTACTACTATAATTTTTTAATGCGAACAGTCACCATATTTTTCAATCACATCTCCTGGTTCTAAACATTTGCCAGCTGCAAGTTACTGTGTCCATTAAGCAAAGCACAAAGATGGGTGGAAGTCATCCTGGTAAGGCAAACATTCTAAGAGTTGGTGTGCATGTGACGCCTGGCTTAGAGCCTGAGTGCATCTCTCCACATCACCAGGTGTCTTGGGAGCTCCTCTGACTGCAGCACCTTTTTCTCAGGGCATGAACTACCTGGAGGACCGGCGCTTGGTGCACCGAGACCTGGCGGCCAGGAATGTCCTGGTGAAGACACCACAGCACGTCAAGATCACAGACTTTGGGCTGGCCAAGCTCCTGGGCGCGGAGGAGAAGGAGTACCATGCTGAGGGTGGCAAGGTGAGGAGGGGGTCCAGAGCTGCTGCCCACGTGAGTGCTACCAGGCTCTGCTGTATGGGAGGAGCTTTGTGAGAAAGAGGAGAAAGGACTCGAGGTGGTCCTCAGCAAAGCCACAGAACCACCTGCCCCTCCAGGCACAGCTCTGGGAGTGTAACAGCACCTCCAGCTCCTGCTGTGGAGAGTTCCAGGAAGTATTCAGAGCTCTCTGGCCGGCTCTGGGGGTCCCATGTATCTCTGGGACATGTGCCTGGTACTAGCAGTGGTAGGAGCCAATCTTTTCTCCCTGGCTGGGGTCACCAGGCCACTGGCACAGCACCTAAGGGTGCATGGATACCCACCAGGCCCACACCCTCCCCTGGCCAGGCTCTAGCTGCATCAGCTGCTCCTCTGTTGAGCTTCTGGCCTGCATGACTTCAGCAGCCATCAATCCCAGGGCACTGTCCCCTGAAACCCCACCCAAATGCAGGGTGCTCGGGATCCCTGGACTGGCCAGGACCCTTAGCTCTGAACAGCCCTGGTCCTGTGGCCTCAGCTGTGGTGTTTATGAAGTCACCCCTGGGCCTCACAGCGGCTGCTCCTAGGCAGAGGGAGTCATTTGCAGTTAGCAAGGGGGACAAACTAATGGCTGTCATACTGCTTCATCTCCTGTCACCCCAAGGTGCCCATCAAATGGATGGCTTTGGAGTCAATTTTACACCGGATTTATACCCACCAGAGTGATGTCTGGAGCTACGGTGAGCCAGAGTCCTGACGCTAATGAATTTCTACGCTGAGGGGGTGGGCTTTTGATGTGTGTTAATTCATGTTACATGTTCTGACACAGTTTTCTTCCAAGACGGTGACTAACAGTAATGGAATAGCCGCTGACTATCTGTGATACTGAAAACCTGACAAGGGAGTTTGACCCCTGCCCTGAGTGTCTAGAGCCATGGGGAGCACTGGGAGGGACCAAGGTGGGAGGAGGCCTGGGCTGGCCCCAAGACCTGCCCAGTGGCTTCTAGCAGGTCAGGGTTCTCCATCCAGAGCTGAGGAGAGACGCCCACAACAGAAGCAAGGCTGCCCCGGCACTGACACTGGCTGTGTCTCCGGAAGCGGGTGGGTGGGTGTTGCTGGGTGTCAGAGTCAGTGTGGGAGACAGTGAGGGAGGAGAAACACCTGCTCCTCCCCATCAAAGACCAGCTGGGCCCTCTGTACCTTGTGTACTCACAGTGCCCCTGCCCAGCCTGCCTGCATACTCTGTGTGGACAGGGCCTCCCCACTGGGTCCCTGTCACCTGTTCCCATACTGGATCCTCCTTCAGCCACTGCAGAAAGCTGAGGACACCTCCTTCCCCCCTGCACCAGGCAACCCCTGCCCTGTTCAGCAGCAGCAGCAGCAAGTCAGGGAGGGTGTCAGCCCTGTCATGGCCCCAAGAGAGCGGCACTGCAGGGGGTTTCCACAGGGATGGCTCAGGAACACAAGGGCCATCACTCAGAATGGCCTTGTCACAGTTTTAGATCTACTTTTTACTTGTCCATTTCAGTCTTTGTTGACTTTCTAATTTCCAAAAATGTATCTTGTCGTTCCACGAGCTGCTTTCTCTGGTGGCCATCACAGGTCGGCACCTCTGCTCCTCCTCTCCCTCCCCGTCCCCGTCCCTTTCCTTCCTCCATGCCCATCTCCTGTCTCCTGCACACACCTTCCGCTCTGCTCCTTGAGTTTCTCATCTCAGAGAAACGGGGTGACATGAGTCTTCTGGAGCCCGTGCCTCTAAGCAGGAAGAGGAGGAGCTATGGCCTGCACTAAGTGGACAGGAAAGGGACAGAGCTGTCCCCAACCTCCTCACTTCCACGCACATCTGGTCATCATGTCTCCTGCCCAAGCCACTCCTTTTGTCCCCAAATGAGCCTGGCCCGCTGACCTCTCTTCCCCCAGCCTCTCTTCTGCTCTTCACGGCTTGCCCAGACTCTGGCTGCTCTGCTTCCCAATGCTTCTCCCTACCTTGCACATAAAATCCGAACTCCTATCCCATGCCACAGGGGCAACAGGCCTTCCGCCCTGTAACACCACGCAGCCCCTCACCCTCCTATCCAGGCCCTGCCCTTGGCACCAGTTCACAGCCCACACTCTGTGGAAACTCTTGAGTTGGTGACAGTGCCTTGCAGTGACTGGTGTCCCAAAAGGCAGGAACCCCAGAGTGCTCATGTCTGTAATGTCGTTGGATGCCACACAGTCGGTGATGAGCACTCACAGAGGTCTCTGGCAGTGCACAAGAGTCCCTAGACTGTGAGTCTAGAGCCAGAGGAGCCCAGAGGTGAGAACCGGCAAAACTGGCTTCTTGGACAAATATCACTGCCGAGTGGCCGCTCTTTCAACTGGCTAAGCAAGTTGGTAGTTGACTGACTTTACAACTAAAAGGGGAGACTTTTATGCCTATCATCAAGCATGTAAGCCTCTCTGTCTCCTCACTTAGAACTTCATAGCTTGCAGCCTCACTCAGAGTCCCCGTCCCTATGGCCAGGCTCATGGGCAGTGTTAGTAAGAAGCCACCATAGCCCTAGTGTTGGCCGGACTTCGCCTGAGTCACAGGTCATCATCCATGTTGTTATTACTGACATCATTTGTGGCACAGTTGTGTCTGCCAGGCATTTGCTGTGCCTGTTGGTGTTTATCTCACTCCATCTTCACAGCCATTATTTCGGACATGTGCTGTTGTCTCCCATTAGTCAGATGGGAAAACTGAGGTTCACAGAAGTCAAGCAAGTGTAAACACCAAGGAGCCCCTGGGCTGAGGTTGTCGGTGCTGGGCTTGTTTCTGTGTCAGGAGGTGACCACTGTCTCTGCCCTCCCACTTCCTCCACAGGAGTCACCGTGTGGGAGCTGATGACCTTCGGGTCCAAGCCCTATGACGGGATCCCTGCCAGTGAGATCTCATCCATCCTAGAGAAAGGAGAGCGCTTGCCACAGCCGCCCATCTGCACCATCGACGTCTACATGATCATGGTCAAATGTGAGTGCGGGGCCAGGCGGGAAGAGTCCTCTGCTCTTGGCCCTGTGTTCCCTACTGCAGGGGTCCCAGGCACACAGGCAGGGACAGCCATAGAATCACAGCACTTACCTTAAAAAGTGCCCACTGGCCTCCCTGAGCTGTGGGCCTGCCCTGTGCTCGTGTTCACAAGCAAGTCAGTGAAAGCCAGTCTTTCTGATCCCTTTCACCCAAACGCTCTGTTCTGCATTTTGCTCGGTGAGCTGCAGAGTGGTGACAGTGGCACAGAGAATTTAAAACTCCTGCCGGTGAGGCTGATGGAATCGACTGTGCTGCTTCTGTGAAACTGAGGTGAACTCCGCGAGGTCTTCCGCAGGGCAGCGTGTGAACACTTTCCCCAGGGGGAGGAAGTGAATGAGTGGTGCCCTCATCCCATCAGACTCCCAGCACTCTGGGTCTGCATGGTAGGGCAGTGACAGGGGACATGACAGACCCACGTTCCTGTGAACAAGCACGCCCTTCCACAAGCTGATCCAGGGCTCCTGGCATCCAGAGAGGTCGCATTAAGGTCACATGTGTCTGGCTGAGAACGGCTCAGCACCCCCATGGCGTAAGGGGCTCTCTGGTCAGGGATAGCCTCCCTCCAGCTTGCAAAGTCCTTGTGTGATGCTGCACACTGGGGTGGCCAGGGAGGCACTGGCACTGGCAGCTGAGGTCAATCCCTGGCCCGGCAGGGTAGATGAGAAGTAAACGGAAGCACCGCGACAGCTGGTCCTGGCCCTGCATGGGAGCTGGTCCATGGTGTAGGGTGGGAGACAGCCCCCAAGAGGGTCGGACTCACATCGTGTTCCTTGGATCAGATGTGGCTTATGGCCACCATGAAGTGAGAGCCCATCACGAGGGGACCCTGGGAAGAGCAGATGCAGGAAACTACAGGGCATCTGGGCAGCTCTGATTCAGACACGGCCTGCCCCACGCACTGGGACAGCAGCAGTGCCCAGGCCAGGGCTGAGACTACTGCCAAGGGCAGGCTCTGCGTCGGTGACTTGTCCAGCGGCCCTGCACTCTTCTCACTGGTAACAGCTTCCTGTCTCCTTTTCTGCTATTATTGCCACCTCCTGATCCCACAAACCTGCAAGGTCCACCGGGGTGTTTCCCGGCGTCTGCCGCTCCTCTGCCCAACCTTGTGGTCCCTCACCCTTCCTCATAGCCAGGGCCGTCTGAATTTCCACAAACTGTGCACTTCTTGTCTTTCTGTGTCTGGCGTCTCTCACTGGACATCAGGATCTCCAGTTCCGTGCATGGCAGCCATGCACGGCAGGATTCACTCTTTTTCTGCCTGCGTAGCTCTCCACACTTCCTTTACACACTCACCCAGCAAGGCCTCTGGGTGCCTCTTCACTTTGGCTGTAGTAACCACGAAGTGCAGGCGACTCCTTGGGGTAAGATTTTACATCCCAGGTGTGTGCCAAGCCATGCTGGCTCACACTGTATTTCTAGCTTCAGTTTCTGAGGAGTTTCCACTCTGGTTTCCGTCAGGCTGCCCTAATTCACAATCCCACCTCCAGTGCTGGACGCCTCCTCCTCCACAGCCCAACCAGCAGTTGCCATTTCCTGTCTGAAATGAAAGCCACTTGAAAGGGATTTGCATTTCTCCAATGACCAGTGAAACTGAACATTTTTTCATATGCCCTTTGTATGTCTTTCTGTCTTTGCCCATTTTTTAATTGAACTGTTTACTTTAGGAGCTTTTTATCTGTGTTCAGCTCTCAGAAGGGGAGTCTTTTGCTGCATGTCCTGTTTGCAAAGATTTTCCTTCACAGGCTGTCTCTGATTCTCATCGATTACTGTTGTTTTTCTTTAGTTTGATGTCTTCTTATTTATCTATTTTCACTTTTTCCCAATACTAAGGATTAAACCCAGGGCCTTTGCATCAAGTTACACCCTAGCACATTTTATTTATTTTGAAACAAGGTCTTACCAAGTTCTTAAATTACCTGGGCTGGGCTCAAACTTCCAGCCCTGCCTCAGCCTCCCAGAATACTGGGATTATCTGTTCTTACTTTTGTTTCCTGTGCTTTGGGAAGATATTTTAAAAACTGTTTGCCTAAACCAATGTCTTGAAAAGTTTGCTTTCTAGTTTCTGGAAGTAACTTCATATTTTCTTTTCACTCCTGAGTCTCAGCTTTTTAATCCATTTTGAGTTGATTTTGTGTACAGTACAAGGATCTAACACCTGTCTTCTACTCATGCATTATCTAGTTTGGCCCACACTATTTATGGAAGAGGTTGTCTTCTCCCCACTAGTGTCTTGGTGCCTTTGTCAATAATCAGCAGCTGTATGAGCACGGACAGCAGCTGAGCTCTCAGTCCTGACCATCTCATCTGTGTTTGCTTTTATGCCTTTTGTGCTGTTTTAATGACCATTTCTTTGTAGTGTGTTGTGAAATCCAGGTTAGAGATGCTGCCAGGATATATTTTGCTTGTTTACTTGTTTGCTTGCTGTTCTCAGGATTCCTTTAGCTGTTCTGGGACTCTGTGACATAAATGCTTTCTTTAAGAAAACTTCTTAGTTACTATTTTGTTGCTGGGACAAAGTATACAATACCCACATCTCAAAGATGAGAGATTTCCTCGGGCTCACAGTCGTTCGGGGTCAATCCATGATCACTGGTTCCAAAACAGGGCAGCAGGGCAGAGGGTCCTGGCAGAGGATGTTTGCTCATGGCCTGGTGGCAGAAGGCAGGAGAGAAGGGAACTGGGGAGGGCCACAAAAGTTCCAGGCCACTTCTCCTGGGACTCTCTCTTCTGACCAGGCCTTCCTTCCTTGCCCCAAATCCAGCTGCCTGTGAGCACAGGAGGCTCTTGGAGGACATCTAGATACAAACCATCGCAAGCATCATCTTTGTTTCTCCCAGGCTGTAGCTGCTTTCTTCTTTTGTTCGTTTCTCAGGCTGGATGATAGATGCAGATAGCCGCCCAAAGTTCCGCGAGCTGATCGTCGAGTTCTCCAAAATGGCCCGAGACCCCCAGCGCTACCTTGTCATTCAGGTACAGGGCAGAGCTTATGTGTCCCTGATGACCCCACACCACTGAACCCCTCCTTAGCCCATGTCCTCGGTCACATTATCAGACTCCATGTTGTTTTGGCTCTTTAGAGCCCTGGTCTTGATAATCCCACCAAGGGATAGCAAGTCTCAGGCAAGGGACAGCCAGGCTGTGGATGTGTGGTGGCCCTGCTCAGCCACCCAGCGAGCTCTACTCCACAGGCCCTCACCTAGCCCAGGGGGAAACCAGCTGAGTTTCCACGCTCTGTGCTCCTCAGGCAGCCCACTGACCAGCCCTTCACCTAGCACAGGGCAGCAGAAACACTCTCACAGGGTGTCTTGATTTTCAAGTTTCAGTAAATCAATAGAGCCATAAAATGCATGGCGTGGCACCCAGCAGCACAGTCCATGCCTGGTGAGCAGCCTCTTGGCTTTCTCCCTCCATGGCAACTTTTCAGGTTCCCACATGTAGAAGGGGAAGCAGCTGCACACACAGAAAGCTGCCACTGTTACAGGCACTTTGGCCAGTCAGGCCTGGTTTGCATGCTTACAATCTCTGCACTTGATTAGCTGAGGAAGGGGGATCACCATTAGTTCAAGGCCAGCCTGGGCTCCAGAGTGAGACCTTGTCTCAAAAAAAAAAAAAAACCAAAAAACAAAAAAAAACATTACAATACAATATAATAAAAAGGAGCTACGTGTGATGGCACACGCCTGCAACCCCAGCACTCTATGAGGCTGAGGCTGGAGGATGAGCACAAGTATGAGCCCAGCCTGAGGAAGATAGCAACCTAGGGAGATCCTCTGTCGGTATAAAAACTATAAAGCATGCTAGCTCAATGGAGAGGCCTCGGTTCAATCCTTAATCCCACACAAAACTGAACCAGCAAACCTACAGGCCCCACTGAGTAGGACCATGCCCTACTGCCACAGGCAGGAGGTGCAGAGCTCCCGAGCGCCCTGGCTAACCAGCAGCTCTCTGCACCAGGGGGATGAGAGGATGCATTTGCCGAGCCCTACAGACTCCAATTTCTACCGTGCCCTGATGGACGAGGAGGACATGGAGGATATCGTGGATGCGGACGAGTATCTCATTCCACAGCAGAGCTTCTTCAGCAGCCCCTCCACCTCTCGGACGCCCCTCCTGAGCTCGCTGGTAGGAAACACCGCTCCCTCGATGCTTCCCTCTAGTGTTTCAGACACAGTGAGTGTGACACCATGGCAACCCAGAGCTAGTGAAACTCACTTATGGATGAATGGTAAAGCAATGAAGTGCAGACATCGGTCACTCTGTGGCACCAGTCTACCTACCTGTGACCTGTCAATCTGCCCAGGTTCCCTGTGAAGTTCAGCCGAGCCCCATTTTGGTAAAGTGAGCAGAGAAATATCAGGGACCTTCAAGCCTTCTCTCAGGAGCCCTGCCTCGTTGTGTCTGAGGAGCCAGGGGATCCCCAGGGTCCCTCATGGTCTCTGTTTCTTTTTCAGAGTGCAAACAGCAACAATTCTACCGGAGCTTGTGTTCCTAGGAATGGGGTAGGTAGAACACTTCACAGAGCAGAACTACACTACGGCACTGTGCCCCGTGCAGTTCTGTCATGTGTGGAAAGTGACCCCCAGACCAAGTACCCCTCACTCTTCTTCTGGCTCCCTCTTCCCTCTGCCCCAAGGTCGGCAGTCAGCTGGCTTGCTAGAAATGTAGATTCTCAGCCAGTCAAAATAAACATAAAAGGGCTGAGTGTATAGCTCAGTATTACGCCCTGGGTTTCATCTCAGTGCCACAAAAGAAAAAAGCAACATAGATCCTCAGACCACTAGCCAGACCTGCTGAACCAGAGTGTGGGGAGGAGCCAGTAGCTGGGTTCCCGCCAGCCATCTGGTGACGCTGGACACAGAACGTTTGACGCTTGCGTGTGATACTTACGATTAAAAGTCAACTAATTGCGGTGAAGTAGGGTGCACACTTGCCCCTCATGCACATGAGGTGTGTGTGCCGGCTGTGCATCTCCACAGCGCAGCAGTCCTGTGGACACCGTGTGCACCGATGCCCCTAGTGCCATGTGCCAGCAGTCCCCACCCTCAGCCCGCCCCACGCCAAGCCTGCGTCTCCAGCAGTTGAAGGAGGTGCTTGCCCCAGTGAGGTGAGGGGTAGCACCAGAGTCACCTTGCCTGTCCACCCACAGAACTGCCCTGTCAGAAGTGATGGTTTCCTGCAGCGCTACAGCTCAGACCCCACTGGCACCCTGACTGAGGACAACCTGGATGATGCCTTCCTCCCTGTGCCCGGTGAGTGGTGGCCTGGGAATCCAGAGCCCCTCAGCCCCCTGCTCTGGCCATCAGTGAGACTGGGTCAAATTCCGGAGGAGAGAAGCAGCTGAATCCAAAAGGTGGAATGCAGGAGGCCTGGTGTGCACTCCCGAGATGCGGGAGTTTGCTATGGCTCCACAGGTTTTCTGGAGTTTGAAGTAGACAGTGAAGACAACCACAAATGCATGTACATACCTGCATGTGTGCTGTGTGTAAGTGTGTGTTGGGGGAGAGGCACACATGTGAGAGACGTTCCGTCCTCTCACCTGGCTCTGTGCTTGGCCTGTGAAATGTGTTTTCAATCTAAACCTTAGCTCCAGATATTTCCAAACTGTGCCCATGCATGTGTGTGTGCGCACACACACACATACACCCACAGAGGCAGGTGGTCCTCCCACAACTTGAAATTTGCAAGAGATGCAGGTGGTATCTGGCTTCAGCAACATGCATGGAACACTCTGCAACCATCCCCAAGGTTTCTCTGTGCCTTGTGGAAGGCATTCATAGGCCCACTGTGACCTGCGAACCCTGCCCTGGGGCCTTGGGGGAATGCTCTGCAACTGATCTTGCCCTGTCCTCTTTTCAATTTCAGAATACATAAACCAGTCCTTCCCTAAAAGGCCTGCAGGCTCCGTGCAGAACCCCATCTATCACAATCAGCCCCTGCACCCCGCTCCAGGCAGAGACCCACACTACCAGAACCCCCACAGCCATGCCGTGGGCAACCCCGAATATCTCAACACCACGCAGTCCACTGGTGTCAGTGGCAGCTTTGACAGCCCTGGCCCCTGGACCCAGCAGGGCAACCACCAACTTAGCCTGGACAACCCCGACTACCAGCAGGACTTCTTTCCCAAGGAAGCCAAGCCCAACGGCATCTTTAAGGGGCCCACAGCTGAAAACACAGAATACCTTCGGGTGGCCCCGCCAAGCAGTGAGTTTATTGGAGCATAACAATGGAGCACAGCCTCTGGAGTAGAAGTTCCAGCCTCTCCAGCAACCCAGGACCAAGCCTCGCATCTGCTCCTCCCTGAGCCATGCCCTGCTCGAGTGCAGACTGCAGACCAGGGGGTGGCTCTACAGACAGCTGCATCGGCCCCCTCAGCCTGGAAGTGCTCTGCCTCGGAGGTGCTGGGGGAGCCAAAGGTACATTCCTCGGTCTCCAAACTGTAAAGCTTTCACATGCGCACTGGGCAAAAACGCTGGCCGTTTGAGTGGAAGTTTATCTTTTGGTGAGATACATTAGAGAGAATAAAGATGCATAGGAGTGTTACCAGTTGGGGATCTTTGGGGTTTCTGGTTGCTGTGCTTGATTTTGAGCTGATGCGCACATCCAAGGGGAAACCCATGCGCTTGCAACCCTGGGTCAATGCAGGCCCAGCTGTGACCGGGGAGCATGGCCACCCCTGCATTCCACTGGCCCTGCTGCAGACTGCCGAGGAAGGAAGGGTGCCCAAGGAGCCCTAGATGTCCTCAGCAGGCCTCACACCGTGGCAGGCACACAGGAGAAGCCACTCAGTTCCTTCAGGGAGAAGAGGACCAGAGACATAGGATTCTCCCTCAGATCCACATTTGTATCAATGCCTCCCTGGTGTGACTACCGTTAGTGCACCAGTATTTTCTGATCATTAGTATTAGCCTTGACTATTTTCCATTCCGTTGTTTTGAAACTCATGTACTTTGCCTGTCTTGACATCATGAAGTTGGCAAAAGCAGAGTACGGCCAAGAGATTCCATGTTTGCTCCATCAATGTTCAAACCAATTGCCTATAATTAAGACAATGAAATTGCAAGAGTTTATGTAAAACATAAGTCAGGTTTCTTTCTTATTTTTGGCAGCGTCAGGAACCGAATCCAGCACTCTCACCACGCTGCTTCCCCTGCGCCTTTTTATTTTTTAACTTGAGACAGGATCTTGATAAGAGCCTGGGCTGGGCTACAACTTGCTGTTCTCCTGCCTCAGCTTCCCAGAGTGCTGAGGTTACAAGTATGCACCACAACACCCAAAGTTGAGTCTCAGATGAAAAATTTCAAGTCCTTGAGCAAATTTCATGAAATTACAGAAATGGTGCTTTGAAAACTCACTTTGCCTATGCCCTTCTCCAGCTGCAAAGTTTTAGGCCACTCATGGGAGACAGTCTTTTCGTTTTCCCACAACATATTTTGATGGGCAGGTGTGCATTCCTCATTGGCAACTGGCCCAGGTCCCCTCTGTCCACTTGATGAGAGAAAGTGTCAATGCCTAAAGCCACCAGGCAAGAGCCGACGGTCTCGGTAGGAGCACTGCACCACTGTCCATGATTCTGAGAGATTCATGATGTAACAAAGAAACGGGTGAATAATTACTAACTGTAGAACACTCTGATGGGTGCAAGAGCAGAGCCACAGCCAGGCTGTGGGACACAGAGGGCAGGGGATTCTCCTGGGGAGACTTGAGGCTCAGAAAGGAGAAGGGCCTCAGCCCCAGGGACTTGGCAAGTGTTATCTCCCCAGGAAAGCAGATCATCCTGAGCCCCTGCTCCCTGAGTGCCACCTCCTATTGGGATGAATTTTGGCTCTCACCCTGCAAAGTACTCAGGGAGGAAGCCAAGCACCTCTCAAATCTGAGATTTTAGGCATGTCTGTAAACCTCTTTATCAATTCACTTCAGAAGGTAATGAAATGCTTTAGAGTCTGCACAGAGCTGGGAAGCAAGCAGAAGGCCTCAGATTCGTCTCTCTCACTTTCAAGAAGCACATGAGGCCGAGAGTGAGCTGCAAGACAGCCCAGCTGTGGCCAAGACACCCTAGTAAATTTGTGCTTTGAAGTGCTCTCCTATGCCATGATAAAATAGTCAAGACTGTTCAAGCTTGCTTTTCTTTTCCTTTATATTTCAGTCTTCCTACCTAAAACTTCATTGCTATTAAATTTAAGATTGTGTTTTCTCAACTGTTCCCTCTACGTGTCCCCAAGGCATGGGCTTGGGGGCTGAAGAACCCAGGCCTCCTCCAGGGACCAGGGCTACCCTTCCCGTGTTGCAGCCCTGACGGTTCCCTGCCACCCTTCTTCATAAACAGCCAGTGCCCACTGCCTTCACAGGTGTCTGTCATCTGTTCCTGTCAGTTCCCAGAGAAAGTCGGTTCACATCCCCACTTCAAAGAATAGAGTCAGAAGTGAACATTTATGCTGGACTACAATCTTTACATGAGTCTCATGTTCTCCGAGGAGTCCTGATCTTCATACCCAGAAAAATATCACCTTGTGGTTTAAAAGAGTGCTGGACTTTTTACACTCAAAATTTTCTGGGGCCAGGTTGCCTCTGCAAAAATCTGCTAAGTGGAGCCTGGGAGGCTTCTACTGTACCCAGCCGATGGGACCAATGCCCCAAGTTTCTGGAAGCTCTTGTTTGTTCTGTCCCTATCCCACGCCAACTGCTGCCAGCTGTGCACACCAGTTCTGGGCCAGTCTTCCTGGGTAGCACCCTTCCCACAGCCAAGAGGACTCTTGGTGGGATGGGTTTTCTTGGGCTCAGCCTGGGCCAGGATTTCACAGAACATTCTGGATTATTCTGACGTGCTCCAAAGTGGCCAACAGCACAGTGTGAAGGAAAGGCCTGGCTGTTGGGCCTCCACCCATGTCCTCCAAGTTAGCCTCTGGGTGGGGTGAGACCAACACCCCTCATTGCTGCACAGAAGAACCCAGGAGCCTGAAAGTGGGGTCAGAGTCCCATGGAGCAACTCCATCAGCAGCTTGGGGGCTCCCCCAAAAGAGGTCCAGTAATCCATCCAGAACTGATTCTGACAGGAGCCTGTGAGAATCTGCACCTCAACCCGACTTGGCATGAACCAGTGGGGTACGGCAGAGTTGCCCAGTGCCACACAGGCCCATGGCTTGAGACTGGCCACAGCCATCCTTCCCAGAGCCTGCAGCCCTTATCTCTAGACATTTACCCTGAAAATGGCAAATGTCCAAATCTGAGCCTGGATAAAGCCCTGGGACTGCATTTTCTAAGAAGAGAGTTATAAAAGCTGGTTTCCTCTGGCCTTGCCCTAGTGAAGGAGCTGCCCCCTCTCACCAGGCAGCTCTTGAAGTTGTCCTTAGTCTGCCCTTTGCATTTCTTTCTCCTGATAAGCATACATGTTTATTATAACAGTGGTCTGTTGTAAAACCCTAACTGAAGAAAGCCCTGCCCTTTTCCCAGCCACACCTACCTTAGTCCTTGGGCAAACATCTTTGTACTGTTGAAGAACATTCAGACAGGATTTTTAAATGCAGATCTATTTTTGTTACTTTTTGCAGGTTATTGTCCTCTTTATGTAGCACTGAATTTGTAAAGTATATTTTTAGAAAACTAATTTTTCTACTATGGGAAACAGTTTACTTTAGAAAGACTGCAATAGAAGTAAAATTTGAAATTGAAATTTTGCTTACTAAAGTTAAGTTGAAGCAAGGGAAGTTTCTTTTCTCTTAGGAAAGATACAAGTTCATTGCAAAGCTGTGCTAGGTCACTGCCATGTGAATAGAAGAAAGTTTGTAAAATTAAACAGGAGGAAACAGCACCCTAGCTTAGCATTGGCCTGAGATGGTTCTGCTATCTGTCTGGGACAATGTTAGTACAAAGGAGTCGCTGTAAGAAGGGGAACCCAAACGCATGCTGTCCTCTGATCCTTTGACAGTACAACCTTGTAAATACAAGAAAAGCAATAACAGCACTTTGTTGGTGTATCTATACTAATCAGGTTGAATGCAAATTAGTTTGCTTTATTTTTATGTTTCCAATTTGTATTCATTGACCAATACAAACTAGAAGTATCTGGAGACCTCAATCATGTTACATATGGATGCAACTGCTGTGTGCATGTCGGCTGACTCAGTCCAAGCTGACCGCGAGAGAGCAAACTCTGGGCTGGCTGCTGCTCAGTGCTCTGAGTTGTCCTCCAGGACCAGCTATGTGCATAGTCCTCAGGGATAAGCCCAGGCTTCTGCCCTGAGTAAAGCTCTCCTGGCCACTGCAGCACTCAGCCAGTGTTGAGACCCCTCAGTCGGGGACCACCCAGGGTCCCTGGAGAGTGAGTGGCTCTCAGACTCTGAGATGTCTGCCACAAAGTTATCTGCACCATGCCTGGGCATCAGGAAGCTGAGCAGAGCTCCCAAGTGCAGGAGGGAAGAGTGACTCTCCACAGATGGAAAGCAGGGAAGACCAAGACAACCTCTGCTGGGCATTTCCTATGCTCCCTCTGTGTACTAAACGTGCACTGTCAGTGAAAGGAAGCCAGTGGGCACTCCTGCTGCTGGTACAACCCATATTACTGCTGTCCCTCTAGCAGCCTGTAACCTTTATCGCCCAAGGTGAAAGAAAACCTCTATCTGTCAGTTATGAAGGGCAGACTTCAAAGATTGATAAATAGTTGTGTGGCTTTTGTAGAACAAAAATCTTCTTGTATTGAGAAATATTTTTTGTACTTTGGTCATAAACTGTACCTTGACTAAAAACAGAAGCCACTAATGCAGTTTTCCTTCCATATGCAAAAGCAGAATCCCGAGTCACTAGGGACCCCCCACACCTCCCACTGCAGACAAAATACAAGAGAAAACTTAAATGCTACATTTTTAGAGTCATTTACTTATTTAAAAAAAAAAAAACTATTGATGTGATTTGACTATGAAGTAATCTTGTGGTATAAGATAATCTCTTACAAATAAAGAGATCCTGTGGGTCTAATGACTGGTATTAGAGATGATTGGTGATTAACACGGACAGCAATAACTGTATGTAAGCAACATTCAAGCAATAGTTTTGTAGCTTCCTGATGTAATGCATTTTAACCTTGTAAAGTTTTGCAATGATGAATGCAGTATTTGTACAAATAGAAGGCAAGATTCTCTTTTATATGGTTTATACTATTGATCAGAACATGTTGACTGTATATTGAGTGTTAAAAAATTAGGTGTATGTTATTCATTGTTCTTTATCCCTAAGTACCTTCCAATAACATTGTATTCTTTGTTAACAGCACAGTGTTGATTCTAATTCTTACTCATGCTGACTGATGGTAGACATTCCTTCTTTTTTTTTTTTTTTTTTTTGTCTTTTTCTTTTTTTTTAATCGGTACCGGGGATCGAACTCACAACTGCCTGCTTGCAAGGCAGGTGCTTATACCACTGAGGTAAATCCCCTAGACATTCCTTCTTAATGATGCTCTTCTTATTCATTTGTTGTGAGACCAGAGAGTGAGACTTTGGTCCTCACACTGAGTCACATCTTTAGCTCCTTGCTGAGCCACTAAGTTCTCTCAGTTGGGTTCAAAGTTGGTGTCTTCCTGCCTCAGCCTCCCAGGGTCCTGGGATTATAGGCATGAGCTGCCATGCCAGATCTTTCTTACTTTCCTCATGCTGAGGGTCTCAGCATACTAGGTGAATGCTGTACCACGGAGCCACACCACTGCAACTTTTTAAAAGCTAATTAATAGGCTTCACTTTGAGAGCAGCTTAGGGTCACAGTCAAATGGGGCAGACAGCACAGGGAGCTCCCACGCCCCTGCAGTCCCCAGTGCACCAAGCACAGCCCCACTATTGCTGAGGTACCGGGTGCAGGACTGCAGCATCGCTGGGTCCCCTTGGAAATCAGGTGCTTTACACGATGGCTCCCTGGGCCCCATGCAGAGTGGTGCTGGGCTCGCTGCCCCTGTCCCTACCTTTCTGGGCATTCTTCATACCCCTTCCTGGGCAAGAGTAACTATAACTGCACTCTAGGAGGCTGAGGCAGAAAGATCACAGTCTGAGCCCAGCCCGGGCAACTTAAGGAGAGCTGGTCTCAAAATTAAAATTTTAAACAAAGGATAGGATGTAGTTCAGTGTGAGGACTCTGAGTTTAATCCTCAAGACCCCCCAAAACAACCACAAAAAGTATTTCTATGATCTGGGAAGAGAAAAGATTTCCCAAGAAGAAGGCATCTAAGGAAAAGAATGGAACTACTCTTCCTGCTGTTCCTTGAGTCCAGGCTTGGCCACCTCCATGGCACAAGCCTAGCCTCTCCAGCGCCTGAGCCCTTCCACCCCTCCCCAAAGCTCTGAGAGTCCTTTGGTTCTGCTCTGGTTACAGAAACAGCAGACAAACTGCACAAGGAATTGGTGAAGTGCCTCCAGGGGACCCGCCCTCCGCTCCCACAGTAGCCAGAAGCCTATGAGACTCCCAGAAGCCTGGAGACTCAGGGCCCCGGCCCGACACCTGGTTCTGTACTTTCCCTGGCCACTGGGAGTCCCTGGCCACTAAAGCAAGCTAAAGTGTGCATTTGACACATGCCTGAAAGCCAGCCCTGAGGAGCCACAGGCCAACTCCGTGCAGGACAGTTGGGCCCACAGGCCCAGCCCACTGCTCTGAAGGAGGCTTAGTCAACACAGCAACAGCTACTGCCCTCTCTGGGCCCAGGGTCCCAGTGTCCGGCCACGACCTCCAGATCTGCCTCCTAACATTCGGCAGAGGCAGGCCTGTGTGGAGGACTCTGCCTTTCCCGCTGTCCTGAGGAGGGTGTGGCAGTGGAGGGACGCCCAGAGAATAAGGGATTCTTCCACCTCACAGGCCAGGAATGTAAAGGGCACTGCCCCCACAACTGGGATCTGACTGCCCAGTGGAAACTGGTGCCGACAGCCCCAGATCTGAGGACAGGCAAGTACTCCAAGTGTCATGTTAGTACGTGCCTGTGATCCCAGCACTTTGGGAGGCAGAGGCAGGAGGTTTGCAAGTTTGAGCTCAGCTTAGGCAACCTAGTGACACACTGAGATCTTGTTTCAAAATTTAAAAATAAAGAGAAATGGCTGTGGCTATAGCTCAGTGTAAAGACCATGGCTTCAATCTCCAGTACTGAAAAAACCAAAACCCTCAGAACCTCCAGCGTACTGCAGTGGTGGAAATGGAGGCCCACATCTCTCATCATCCCCACTTCCTCCCAAACTCTCTCCTTCAGCTCTCACCTTTCAGAAGACATGGAGTGAAGACCAGCAACAGAATCTGAAGTCAGGACAAGGCTTCTCACACTGTTAGAGCTCAGGAATGTGACAAGGGAACTATTCACACTTGAGGCACACAGCGTTTGATAAAATGCAATCACACTGCTGTTAAAATCTCATCATAACCTGGAACAGCTGGTAGCACCTTTAATGAAGTAAACACATCTACCAAAAGGTTGCTAAGAAACAGCAGACTTAAGGGTTAGACAACAAGACAAAAGTTATCGTCATCATTCCTGTTGTTCAACATGTTTCTGAAGTACTATTTGGAGACAAGTGTGTGCCAGATATCTGTCCCTGATAAATACCTAACACAAATCCACTTCCGTGGAGAGAAACTTTGGCTTATAGTTTCAGAGGCTGCAGTTCATGGTGGCATACCCCCCCCCCCCCCGCTCTGGGTGAGGCAGCTTGTCAGCACTGAAGCTCAAGACAGCAAAACCACTCAACTCAGACCAGGCAAAGGGAGAAGAGGCCAGAGTTCCTCTATCCCTTCCAGGGAGAGAGGCCCAGACCCAAGACCTGCCACTGGGCCCCTGAGGTTCTGCCCACTCTCAGCAGCGTCGGTCAAGGAACAGCACAGGAACCTTCAGAGAAGGTTCTGCTGCAGATCGAGGACAGATGCACTGTTTAAATGGGATCCGTTTCAGCTCGGAACAGTCAGTGCAGTCACAGCCTGTGCCCAGGGCCAGACTTGGGCAGCAGCCTGGCCTTGCACCAGAGTGCTGTCTGTACACAGCCTGCATCTGCATGTCTCAACCTGGCTGTACCTGCTCTGTAGACAGAGGTGGGCAGTGGCAACAGAGATCCTGGTGGGAAGCTAAACTGTTCCCTACCTGACCCTCTCCACACAAAGCTTGTCAACCCAAAACAACTAACCAGAAAAAGTTAAAATACCTAAGAGTATCACGAGGGCAGACCTATGTAAACGAGACAGATAACTTTCCTACCTACCGCCAGCCATGAATTAAACAAGATAATGAATGCCATTTAAAATCACAACAGAAATGACAAGACTGGTTGAAATAAACTTAAGTATGCATGAACAATGTGAAAACAAGAACTATAAAACTTTGTTGAAATATAAAAGAAGACTTTAAAATGTTACATTCATGGCTATGAGACATTACAAATATGCCAGTACTTCCTCAGTGTTACATAAGTTCAGTGTTATGCAAATGAAAATTTCAATAGCTATTTTGGGAAATGGGTTTTAAATCTTGGACTCTAGAACAGAAAATGCACCGCAGTAGCCAGGAACATTTGGAAAACAATTGAGTAGGGATAGCAATGGCATAAAAATACACACTAAAACTATAATCATTAAAGCTGGGCAATGCCAGTGTAATCAAAGAAATAATGAATGGAAAAATTTAGAAATTTGGAAAAGGACATGTGTACATGAAAATGTAATGTGTGACAAAAATAATATTTCCAGATGGTGGGGGAATGAAAGACTATCCAATACATGGTTTTGGAGAAAGCTTTCGTGCACTTGAAACACAAACTTGCTTTATACCTTCAAAACAAACTCCAGATGGACCAAAGGTCTAAACATAAAAACACATTGAAAACAATGTTAGACGGAACACGTGACATTATTATTCTTAAGGTGGGAAGCTGAGCCAAGTGGCACCCCAGCTCCAGAGGCATAAAAACATGACAACATGGCCATCCAGATTTTGTTTTTGTTTTTAGTTTTTAAAGAAAAAGGTAACTCAGTAGAAAAAATAAATATGAGAAAAGGTTTGCATTATACCAACAATTAATGTCCGAAGTGAAGAGTTCCAGTGAATCCACAGTAAAAATTTAAACACCCGCACTGCAACCTTGACAGGGTATAAATGGATGATTCATGGAAAAAACTACAAATTATTAGAAACATGTATGCATGTATATTCAACCTCAATAACAACAAAAAGAATGCTACCCAAAAACAAAATAATAATCCTTTGGTCACGCATTTTGTTGAGAATATCAATTGTTATAAACACTTTGGAGGACAACTGAAGTTTTAAATATGTGTGTACCCTCATCCCTTTTTTTTTTCCCAGTACTGGGGATTAAACCCAGGACCCTCACACTGAGCTAGGTCCTGAAACTTTGTTTATTTATTTAATTTTGAGAAAGATTCTCACCACACTGTCCAGACTGAGCTTGGATTTTTCATCCTGCCTCCGCCTCCACAGGTCCTGGGATTATGGATGTTTTCCATCATGGCACCTTGTGTTTATCCTTTGATACGACAATGGCGCTTATAAAAACAAAGTCTACTAAAATATTCAAGCAATTATGCAAATATAGATAAATGAGAACATTCACTGAAATTGTGTAAATACTACATGAAGGATTATTTGTAATGGAGAAGAAAGGAACATTTTAATGTTCAAAAGCAGTTATTAAATCATGGAGTCTTGCCTTAGCTCTCTCGTTGTTGAGTCAACATAACTGACATCCAAAGTTAAAGGAACAAAGGTTTATTTAGCTCACAGTTTGTGGCGGTTTCAGCCCATAATCAGCTGGCTCCAAGGCAGTGGAGATGTGACAGAGGGCAACAGTTCAGGGTGGTCAAAGGCAGCAAAAGCAACAAGCCCGGAGAGACAAGCCTCTTTCTGCTCCTTTTATTGTATTCAGTGTACTGGGTTATGGTGGTCTCAGTCTAATCAGTGGGCTAATCCCGCAATTGTTCACCCTTAATCCTAGCAGCAAACCATGAATCAATAACCTCTAAATTTAGCCACCTCCAAAAAAGCCCCATCTAAAACTGCATGAAGTTATGAGGGGACATCTAGGCGCTAGCCATGTGGTCTGGAATTCTGTACAGTTATTGAATAGATTGGATAAATCCACATGTGGTGGACCCATCCCCACATTGTAGTGTGTGGTTGTGTGTGTGCATAGCTTTGTTGTGCTGGAGGCCAAATCCAGAGCTTGTATACCCTAAGTACACGTGTTCTTGGCATGTCAGTGATGTGAGCCCAGGCACAGAAAACAGAGCCCTTCTGGACTGAGAATGTAGGGCCACCTTGCCTGCCCTGACAAAGAGCGATAGCCAGGGTGGCTTCTGTGGCTCAAGTTTCTTTCCCCACTGTCCTGGAGGCCAGAAGCCCAAGACCCAGGTGGGTCTGATCACTTCCAGGGTGACCCCTTCTGTTTCTGCTCCTGGTCACTCTGTGCTCAAGCTGGGGGACAGGGCGAGTGAGTGTGAGAGCTCCATTGTCTCTCTTTATGGGGACCCCAGCCCAGTGACCTCATCTAATACTTCACAGAAGTCCCATCACCTCATCATTGGTGCTGATGATTTCAATATGAACTCAGGGAGACACATTCAAGCCACAGTTTCTTTGCAGCACAGGAAACTAGGGAGGATTGGAGGACTTTAATAAAACAGGCATGGACTGCCACATTATTTAGTGAGACCCAAGTTTCACATGGAATTTCTGTTTAGATCTTGTTTCTTTAAGTAAAACACTCATCAAGTCTTAGCCAATATAGGTCAAAGTTTCCATACATCAGATTAAGAAACAAAATTGTAAAACATACTGGCTCCAGGCACCTGCAACCTTGAGATCTGGAATGGGTTTTTAAACTGAGCTGGAGCAGAGGATAGTTAGGAAGAACAGACAGTAGTAACATTACTATTTTCTGCACGGCTTCACTGTCGCCGGGGAGCCTACCCGACAAAGGTTTGCTGGCATCTCACGTGGCTTCCACCCTCAGCCACCTTATCAACTAGTAAGTCAGTAAATTTCTAATTAGAACAGTGTAAGGGTTAATGGAAGAAGTCATAAAAACTGATAAACCTATTGATTTTTAAAAGCAGAGTAGACACAGTAGAGAATGAACTAAGAGCCCCTCTCCAGGGGCTCTTACTAATGCAGAAACAGTTTCACTGTTGTTTTGGCCTCATTGTTACAAATCTCCACATCAGTGTTTCATTTTTAAACAATTGCCCCTGTGATTAGCCTATAGAGAAATAGCTACCATGTGATACTTCACTACTATTTTGGACACAGTATTACAGATTCCCCTCATCAGCAGTTCCTCTTTCTGAAAATGTCACCGATCCAAATCTACAGAGCTGGGATATTTCCTGGGGATCAGCTACCAGCTCGCCTGGGCTGCACACACATACAGAAGCCACTCAACCCTGGCACAGGAAGAGCTCCAGCCTCCCGGAGTGAATGCAGACCCACAAAGTGTCAAACCAGCACATAATTCGGGTCTTGGTTTTCTTCAAAACATGCTTATTGACCTGCTTCATGCAGAGACCTGTGCTCCACCCTGGGTAACTAGCCAGGCTACATTCCAAAGTAGGCAAGCTCTGTGCACACACACACTCCACGAAGGAGGCAAGGTGCCCAGTTGTGGGCACAGGTTCTCTCTCCTTTTCCAGCAGATGATTCAGGCATTTAGGCACCAGGCAAAGCCATACAAACCAAGCCAGGAGGGGAAGTGAAAGGAGTTGTTCTTTCCACATTGAAGACTAAGTGGGACAACTAACATGCAATCCAAGACTTTATTCTCCAGTAAAGTACAGATCAAACATGGAAGACACCGGGACAAACCATACTTTGAAAAAATAACAATATCTCCTTGGGGACGTTCTGGAAAAGTCAAACTATGGGGCCAGTTAAAAGAGTGTTGGCTGCTTGGAGCTGGAAGACAGAGGAGGAGGAGGGGGCAGAACAGAGGATGCAGGATGGGAAAGTACCCTGGGTGCTGTGGACAGGGCATGCCATAGTATGTGCCATACCAGCGTGAGCCTCCTGCCCGCTGTGGGCCTGAGCGGCGATGACACATCAAGTCAGGTTCATCCTTTGTGACAATTACACCACAAAGAGGTGGGGATGTTCCAAATGGGAGTGGCTGTTGAGTGGCCAGAGCTGTATGAAGGATTGCTGTGCTTTCCTCTCAATTTTACCCTGAATCTAAAGTCACTCCATTAAGGTTTGGATCTAATGTGACCCAGAAGCCTCAAGCGTTTGGATCATGAGGCTCAGAGTCAACTTCTGTCGGGGACTGGGGTCAAGCTGGGGTGTGGCCTGGAAGGTGCTGCTCCCTCCCCTAGTCCTCGGTCCCCTCTCCTCTCTCTGTGGTGTGAGCAGCTCTCCTCCGCCAGACCCTTCCACCACACAGCTCTGCCTGGAGCCAATTGACAGACATCAAAATTACCTCTCCTCCTCAAACTGTGGGGTTCAACACTGTGTCTCAGCAACAAGGAGCGTGGCTATGAAATACTCCTTAAAAAGTGTGGTTCAGAAAATAAATCAATAAATGAAAACCTTGTTGCAAAGCTTCCACCTCCTCTCTCCCCTGCTTCTATCCTGTCATCTCCAGTCTACACCCTGTGTCGAGGGCAGGTGGTATTATCTTCCAGCCCACTCACAGATGTCAAGATTTTGCATTCCAAAACTAGCTTTAAGTATCCATTTGTTCTTTTTTGCATTTTCTACAGTACTCTGGGCTTTATGTCTGGCTACTGGGAAGTTTTCACTCATTCACTCATTTATTCGTTCAATGGCTATCACTGAGCAGCACCAGGTGCTGGACCTGGGTGCTGAGTCTGCAGCTCAGTCCCCATGTTGCCCTCCGTCCCTTGATCTAGAATCAGAGTCTGAAGTCATCAGGAGTTCCCAGGATGACCATGTCTTTGAAAGATGCTTTCCTTCTTCTCAGAGATGCTTTTAGTTACCCTGAGAACATCTAAATTTCAGTGAGTTTTTTCCTTCATGTGAAGAGAATCTACTGCTCCATGTCTGGGGTTCACTGAGTCCAGCTCCGCCCCACTCTTCAACACAGTCCTCTGCTGTCCCTCACTGGACCTTCAGATCAGCACCCACTACTGCTGCCGACCCCAGCCTGGGGCTGCCAGTGCTCACAGTTGATCTGAATTACACATCCAACCTCAGTTCTTACCACTTTGAACTCCTGCACGGCCCTTGGGTTAGCACCCAGTTCACTACTGTGACCTTCCCCCACACACCTGCCCTCCAAATGCAGGGCTCTTCCCATTTTCCTTCCAAGCAGAAGGACCAGCATCAGTTCCACATGGACCCCAGACTGCTGGCTGGGCTGCATGCTTCTTCTCAGATCCTCCCCATAGCTCCCTGGGCCTCTGCCCCCACAGAACTCACTCTTCCTGGAAACTGCATCATGTGGGCTTCCCCTGCAAGGGAAGGGCTCCTCAGAGTAGAGGATGGAGCTATGTTGGCTGCATTTCTCTAGTACCTAGCAAGGTACCTGGCACACAGCGAGTGCTCAAGGAGGGCCCGAGGGACTTTCGCCCTCACTGTGAAGTCAATGTCTTAGTGGCCAGAGAGAAGACTCCTAGTGGAGTGAAGGGACAGGACAGGCCCTGCATCACATGCTTCGTGACCTGCTTCTGTAACACTGCGCATACCTGTCCTGAGTGGCCTGTACTGTGGGAGGACCCTGGCTGTCTCACCTCTCCCCTTTCAGACATGCCACAATTCTCACACAGGCCTTCAATGCCGATATCCATGTGGGAGAAGCTACCCAGAAGTGAATTCATCTATAGTGCTCTTTCTTTCCCCTCAGCACATTCGCCTTTAAGGTCTCATGTGGCCCCTGTAGGTCCCAGTCCCCGTCCACTCAGCGCCGCCACCTTCTGCTCACACCCTCCTTCACAACCTCCTTTGGCTCTGAATCCTGACCTATCTGGGACTGACCAGGCACCCAACCTCCTAAAACAAGTTGCAGTGAGGGCTTAAATAACAGAGACAAGTACTATGATATCGGGGAAATGCAAGGTCAGAACTCTCTGGGCGCTGAGAGCATGAGTTCTCTGGACAGCTAGTATGTATTGGGTTACAGGCAGGGTGCAGGTAGAGAAGTGTAAGCACCCCTGAGGCAGAAGCCCACGAAAATGAGCAGGCCTTGGAAAGTTAGAGCAAAGGCAGTGAAGCTTGCTAACCAAGAGAGCTTCTTGATCTCTAAGGCTGACACTTACTACAGGAGCCAAATGCCTGCAGCTGCTGCTTTAAGCGTGTCCTCGCTGTGGTGCCATGCTGTCTTCAGAGCACTGGGTTCAGCAACTTAACAGCGTGGTCTCCAATCCTAGCCCTCAGTACCCCTACCGAGAGCCAAGGACCATGCCCCTCGCCCTGCCAGCTGAAACTGAGCCACTGCACAGGTCTAGCTGGTGGGAGGCCCAAGTGGTTCTGGACACCAGGCCCTGGGGCTTCCTGGCCAAGTGACCTGTCCCTGTGAAACCAGCAGCCTTGGAGGCAGTGAGGTGCTCTGGGGAATCCTGTCTGACTCTTGCAGTTTCAACCCATTAGCTGCCACTTGCACCCTGAAGAGTCAACCACACAGTCCCTCACTTCCCAGGGCCAGAAGCATCCCTTGAACCCGAGGGTGTGGGATGCCTCAGGACTCACATGCACTGGAGTTGGGACAGAGAGAACCACTTCTGAACTCTGTCCTGCCCACTATGTGTGCATGTGACCAAGATCTAGGGAGAATGTTAAATGAGCATCTTAACAAGGTATGATCGAAAATCCAGTAAATGCCCCTGAGCCTTATCCAACAGAGAGACAGCTCGTAAAAACATGACGCCGTGTCCCCACCCCCTTGTTCACTAGATCTGGCACTCTGTGACTTCTGGGTTTTCCCTAAAGTCAAAATGATCCTGAAAGGGAAACATTTTGGATCCATTCTAACAAGGAGACAGCCAGGCCAGTGCAATAAAGACACCAGGAAAGAGGACTGCAGAGCTGCTGCAGGAAGTGTCAAGGATTCTAGGATGAGTGTTCCAAGCCAGGGGAGGACTTAAGGGAGATTCACAGTGGAGTGCTCTCAGCTATGATGCTGTAATTTAAATGTTCTCTGTAGTTTTTAGTCACACTTCACATTCTACACTATTCACCTCAGCTCCCCTGTGAGAGCCACAATTTCAATCCCAACTCAAAAGAAAGCAAAGTGTGATTCTGGCTCCAAACAGCAGAAAGCATTCTGATTTCAAAGCCTCCCAAGGGTTACACTGAAAGGGATTTCATTTCCAACCCCCGGAGGCAGCCCACAGCTCAGGCAGCTGCTGGAGGCTGCATGGGCACCAGACTCCACAGCGCCATCCCTGCTGCTTTTTGCCCTTGTTGGTCTTGCAAATGCCTGTTGCCCTGCAGGGAACAAGTCAGATTGCAGGCAAGATGACAAGGTAGAGAACATGCACATAAATGCAGGCCTTTGCCCCAGAAAGTCTAGAGGCTGGCTGTCCGTTGCCTGGCAGGGTGCTGGCCTTGCTCCAGGAAGACTTCTTAGGGTAGATGTGCTCCATCCACCTGAGCTCAGATGATCATGCAGCACTGCAGAATCCAGGCACCCCTGCAACTGAGCAAGTGGGGCCAATGTTAGCAGAAAATCAAGAAGAAATGTTGGTAGATAACAGCCAGCACATACAATGGGAGACCTGCCTGGAAGCAAGACTGTGGTAAGGGGGACACACTCACCAGGGAGGGACACACTCACCAAGCAGCACTCACTGGGCAGGGTGGTGGTAAATGTGGCTGGAGGTGGGAGCACCCTGTGGGCTGGGCTGTGTTTCTAGACTGCGGGAGACAACAAGGGGTATGGATTCTCCAGGTTCGCTGTACTCTGTACTAGTGTGGAGCAGAGCCCTGGAAAGCTAACAGACACAAAGAGCAGCATCCAGCAGGGGGAACCAAAGCTCTGGAGCAGCATGTGGAGGTTGGGCCTACAGGGCTGGCTCTGCAGCTAACAGAAACCTCAGAAACAAAAAGGCAGCTGGGAAACCAAGGCATAGATACTTAACCAGCAGCCAAGCCCCTGGAGGACAGCTAGGGTCTGGACTATCTCCAGGGCTCCCAAGTGCAGGAATGGGGAGGTCTAGAGCAGGAAGTGTGACTCTGGACCCAGCCTTGGGGAGGAACCTCGCTGGCTCCTATCTTCCTGGAAATGTCCCAGCTCCTGCTGAAGCCAACCAAGCATGGGGGTAGCAGGCCTGGGCAGCAGGCCTGGTAAACAGAGGTCACTGCAGCCCTGACCCTTCTCACCTCCCCTTCTGCCATCGGCCTCCTCTGCACCCACCCCATGCTGGCAGCCCTGGAGGAAAGGGGAAAGAGCCCACTCCTCTTTCTCCCAGACCTCCCTTCCACCCTCTCACAGCTTGATTCTTCTCAATGGAACTGTTGTGCACATCCGGGTCATTTTTGCATGGCTGTCTCCATTCAGGAGGAGACAAGCCTTGGGACTGTCCACATGTGCCACAGCAGGCTGTCTGCATCCTTGAAAGCTCTAAAAGGCTTGACATCACTGGCCTTGGGAGTGGGAAGATAAGACATCCCTGCAACTGCCAGGATTCTAGCCCCACCAAGCGCCGGAGCCCTCCCTCCTTTTTCTGTCTCCTGGCTGCCATGGGGTGAGCTGCAGTCTTTGCAGACCCTTCCACCATGTGTTTCTGCCTTAGAGACAGCAGACCAGGGACTAAACCCTCTGAAAACTAAAACAAACCTCTCTTCCTTTAAAGGGTGGGTCCTGGACATTTTGTTCCAGCGACAAGAAATTAACTAAGACAGATGTTAACTTCACTCAAGTTTTTGACCCATTCCCCAATTTACATTACTGATGTAATACCCATTCCCCAATGGCATTACTGATTACTTGCATGTCTGCTAATACAACCTCTGCAACTTTATCCTGCTTTTATAAAGTTTTGTAAGAAATGCTTTCCAAGAATGCATTTCTAAAACAGAGCGTTATTTTATTTTATTGGATTTTGTGAGTATGTATTTATGGTGTAGCACTGAGCTGCACCCTCAGCCCTTTCTTATTTTTTACTTGGAGACAAAGTCTCACTAAATTGCCCAAGGGGGGCTTGAATTTGCAATTTCCTGCCTCAGCTTCCCAGAGTTCTAGGATTACAGGCCTGCGTCACCATGTCTGGCTTGTTTTGTTGGATTCTTGTTGCAGGAAACTTGGTGCTCGCTTTGCACACATACCAAAAAGGGAGCCTCAGTGTAGGTGTTTGGTCTAAATTACATCTTGCACCCATGCAGTGTCAGTAAGATTGTGAGTTTTGTGGAGCTGTAATAAGTTCCCTTTCTCCTTGGTCAGCAAGAGCTAATAAGAATTCCCTACTGGCACTCGAGTGGGCTCTGTGCCCTCACTGAGTCTGGCGATGGCTCTGTTTCCATGTGCTTGGTGACAGGCCTGCAGGGGGAAGCCCCTCCACGACACGATGACTCTCGCGCTTTGCTGTGAGATGGGAGCAAATCTCGCAGGTCATAAAAACAGTACTGCTCCTCCAGCTGGCTTCTCCTGTTACTCAAGGCCACACTTACCTTCGTGCTAAGCCAACACTAGTGTGGGCTCCTACTGAGGGGGCCCTGACCCCAGAGTGCCCTGCACAACAGGGCTTTCGACCAATCTGAGTTCCTCTAGGCCTTCAGTGCTAATGACTCCAGACTCACGATGCTCTCCATCCGGTCTCAGTAAACAAACTTCAGTGAGAAACTCAGTGCTCCAAAGGCCACAAGCACAGAACACCCTTGGAACAGGAGCCAGCGATCTGGGTGGGAACCAGGTCTGCAAACTATTTGCTGTGTGCCCTCAACAGGACCTTCACCTCTGACCTCAGTTTACCCATCTGTAAAAAGAGTAGACTGGCTCATATAGTCTTCACTGAGGTCTCCTCCAGTCCCCCAATTCTAGCATCATTTAACATAGAAAAAAAAAATCAAGAAACCTTCATGTGCAGTCCTGCTGCCAGAGGTGCCCCCTCGCTGTCTGAATGTGCTTCACAGAGCCCAGGCTGGGACAGGGGAGACCAAGATTTTGTCAAGAGATGGGAGAATGACAAACTCCCTTGCCTCTGCCTGGCCCATTCATAAGCATTTCCAGAGACAAAGCACTTGACACCTGCCAAAGCCCAAGCGTCTGCTGACTTGGCATTCTCTAAAGGCAGAAGGAGGAAGCAATGATCTCCGCTGTTCCATAATGAAACACGGTCTCATCTCACCACTGGAAGCAGACACAACTTCTCTTCCTCATCCAAAGAAGTCGTCTGGATGTGGCCTTGACAAACGCCACATTCCCAGGTACAATAAGAAGGCAGACCAGAGATCCTAGAGGTCACCCTGCTAAAGGATCTGAGCACCAAGAACAGTCAATCTGACTCTCTAGTGGAAGAAGCAGATCTGTGTTCAGACAGACATCTGGATCCAGGTACCACTTCTTCCGTGTCTAGGTTACTCTACGTCTGCTTCACGCTGCACATGGCATTGTCTCAGCACTGAGTCAAGGTCAAGACAGCAGCATCGCTGCCCTTCTCACAGGGAAGGAAGTGCAGTCTGAGGACAGCAGGCCACTTGTTTCATAACACACTCACCACACAGACCTGCAGGCTCCACTACGGGTTTGAATCAAGACCTGCTCCAAGGTGCTTGCTGGTCAGCAAGGTGAGGAAAGTATTGGTTTTCATGGTGACCAGCACTCCTCGGCTGCCCTTCCAGCATACCCTTCTCCTGTTGCCCCTCTGCTGTGTACTAGAGATCTCTAGAAGAATAGAATCAGTGTAGGACAAACACATAACCATGCAAGGGGGGTAATTAGGCAGCTGAGAGGGTCACAGCTGATGATAGCTCCACACACCAAGGAGCGGGAGGACCCAGGAGCTGCTCATCCCAGGAAGACAAATGCTGCAGAGTAGGAGGGACCGATGCAGCAGCCCTGGTCCAAGGCTGAAGGCCCAGTTACTCCCTGCAGAGTCACCTGTGTGAGTCTTCATGGGTACTGGAGAAGCTGCAGTCTGATGTCCAGGGACGAGGGCTGCAAAAGACAAGCTGCTCAAGCAGACTGGAGCTCTTGGAAACTCACTCCAACTTCCTCCTTGTGCTTTTATTCCATCCAGTCCTTTTATTTCATCAGGCTTATTGGCTGGTGCCACCCACAAGCAGGGCATCCTCCCCCTTGGTTTGCTGGTCTACCTGTCAGTCACCTCTGGAAACTCCCACAGTCTGGCCCAAAGTGCGCCTTTTGGGTGCCCTGAGTATCATAGTCCAAGCACCTCAAGGGTCACAAGCAGCAATCACAGCATGGATTTGTTTCCTTTCTGGGATGAAAAAGAGAATGAGGAGAGAACCTATTGTGTGTTCCACTTTCAGGGCAGTGATAGATGGCGGAAAAGAATCATTTTGCTACTTTTTCAGATGCGCTGAGAAACACAGAGCAATCTTTCGGAACTGAGGATGCATGGTGGCAGGGCGTCCTCCAGGTGTGGGCGTTTCCCTGAGGAAGACATGTGGTCCTCTCCTGGTGCTCCCTAAAGAAGCTCGGCAGGTCTATGGGAATGAGTTTTGCCATTTGTGAAGAACCCATCTTCACATTCTGAGTTAATTGCATCACTTTGTGTGTGGCGCACAAGACTTCCAGGGCCAAGTCCATACTCAGACCTCTGTGTGTCCATGGAGGAAAATTGGACTTCTTTTCTCAAAGGTGGAGATACAATTGTACCAGAGCTGAACCACTGAGTTGTGTACCAGCACTGGCTTTTTTCAGGGGACAAGGATTGCAGAGAATTGAACCAAGGTCCATCACACTGCCCTACATCCCCAACTCTTTATCAGTGTTTTATTTTGAGAAAGGGTCTTGCTATGTCTCTAACTTGTCCAGGCTGGGCAGGACTTTCAATCCTCCCACCTCAGCCTCCCAAAAAGCTGGATCGCAGGTGTGTACTGTTATATCTGACCCAGCACTAGACTGTCTACACAGGAACAGATATCTTCTCACTAGCTCCTATAGATGCTTCCCACACTCCCAGTAGGTCCCAGCATCAGTCTGTAGTTCTGTGAAACGAGATTCCTGTCCCAGAAGTGGGGACACACTCAGATCCACGAGACACAAGCCTCATAGGAAATTGTGAATCTGGTGAGAAGTGACAACAGCTTGTGACAGCAGAGCGGTGAGTGAGGGAAGAGACACCAGCTGCTCCTCCCCTCCACTCCCTCAGCCTCCTACACCCCGGTCACAGCGGAGCTGGAGAGGCTGAGGGGACATAGGAGGCGGCCAAGCCAAATGTCTGCCCAGACTACGCTAAGCCCTGGCCTTGGGGCTGGTGCTAGACCAGGCACTGGCTTCCGGCTGGGAGTCTGGTTCAGAAAGAGGGCTGTAGCCAGACGCCTCAGGCAAGGTGACAGGAGAGCCAGGTGGCCCCATCCAGAGAGCCAGCAGTTGGCAGCAGATGCCACGTCTTGTTGGACCACTGCCAAGGCTGCCTGCTGTGGTGCTGGGAACCAAGGAGCCTGCAATCACAAAGCAGCCTTGCACCTCCTGCAGCAAGCTGTGACCACATACTCACAGGGCAAGATGTCACA